TTTGGCTACCTTTCTCTCTTTAGAAATCTCTCTTCTTTGGGCTTCATTCCTCTGTAGAAAGCCTTTTTGAGATAGATGGTTGTACTTCTTGTTCTTCACTGATGAGTATATAGTTTACTTTCTCCTAGAATTCTTAGTAATTATTAATATTTTCTTTGTAATTTTTTTTTTTTGTATGACATATTATACTATTTTGAGTCTTTAAACCATCAATTTTGGTATAAGCCAATTATGTAACCTAATATGCTCTTAAATCACTCTTCAAAATTCAAAATCTATAGTTTGGTTAGAATATTTATTCTGGGTTTGTGTTTAATTCTATGGTTGTATCAAAAAAAAAAATTCTTGCACAAAAAGTTTGGCTTTTGTAGGTGGCATCCTTGTTATCATATTCAAGAACTTTAGCCCCATCCATGAATCATATTTGTTGATGAAGAAATAAATTGCCCAGGTTAAGCACCATAATAGTCCAATGGCAAGTTGTGGAATGAAATTACTTGTAATGCAAATCCAGAATACTTATTCCCTGTAATGGCTAATTCCAGGGTGTGCTCAGGGTTCAAAATCTCACCTTCCTCCAAGAACAAGAAACAGCTCACAATTGCCACCCCTTTCTGATGGCTTGCTTGATTCTGTATAACATTGTTATATGACACCTACAAATTCATATATGAAAATGATGTGCGTAAAATTTTTATGTCTGACTGAAACACACAATTAAGTTTTAAAAAAAATTTACCTGACTCCAATTTGGCAAAAAAGAGTGTATTTGTTGAAAGTTTCCAAAAGGACTGTTATGATATCCAAAACCTGTATAACAAATTGTAATAGACCTAATAAATAAATAATTATTATAAAATAATCTCTATATGACTACACATACACTTTGTGTTATATTGTACCTGATTGTGGGAGTTAGAACTCATTTGTTAAGAACAGACAGGGACGTGTGAAATATCTTCTCTTAGGGAATTTGTTGCCCTTTTTTTTTGCCTTTTTCTTTCGCTTCTCTAAGCAGCCCTTAAGCCTACCATCTGTTACCCCTTTTGGCCTCATACGTGGAGGATCCAACACCACCTTTTCACCAATTGAGTCATTTACTTCATTCACAACATCAACTCTATTAGAATCACAACTATCCATCATATTCCTTGATTTAATCTTTCTAACTTCTTGCACAATTTGGTCTAGATGGCCATTAGCAATTGCAAATGTTTCCTCATCATATGCACTTAAACTCATAACGCTAAAAGCTTTGCACATGAGCTTGCTCAAGAATATTGTCTTTGATGATGATACTGCCTTCTGTGATGGCTCACGATACTTATCAATGATAATCCCTTCCTTTGCACCTTTTGTCCACCTCTTAAATATATTTTCACTTGGAATTTTTTTGATGGCATTAAGATTCAACATCCTTAAACTATGTCGACACAACAAGCCCAAAGATTCAAACATTTTACAACTACACCGAACAATGAAATTAGAATAATGAAATTCTACCATATGCTCTCGATGACAACCTATTTTTTTTTAAAAGTATAAATGACAAGTGGTCCAACAGAATCAACCTGTATAACTTCTTCATTTACTGCGGTTAAGAACTTACTTTGAAACATTCTAAAAATGGTATGTGTATACACCTGAGCTGCATGTATTAAAGTACCATTATTAGGTATTAGCATGGGAGGCATACCTTTAGCAGGTGAAAAATCATCACTCACTTCAATTTCACGCATTCGGCTTGCACTTTCATCGTAATGCTTCACAAATTCAGTAAGAGTCATGGTCTTGCAAGCAATATGTTGAAATCTATTATTTGTACTCTCACTTCTTTGTGTTGATGTAATATCGGCCGAGAATGTATCACGACTGAAAGCTAGACACCACTTCTCACGAATGTCATACAATTTACTCAACCATTTATTTCCTACAATGTCATGTTCCTCATTTATCTTCCCCCAGGTAGACTTGAACTCTTCCTCAGTTTCATAACCATAAAAAAGTTTGTTGAACTTCTCATTGAACCTTGGATTTGCAAACGAAGTAGAAATGTTTTGGGCGGCATTTTTCAAGATATGCCATGTACATAGGCGATGTTGTGTATTGGGTAACACCTTATGTATAGCATTTGCCATTGCACCATCTTGGTCGGTGAAAATTGTTCTAGGAGCCTTATTTCCCATAGCCTCCAGAAATGCTTCAAATAACCACACAAAAGAAGCTGTGGTTTCATTCAATAAAAAAGCACAACCGAATAGTACATGCTTCCAATGATGATTTATTCCAACAAAAGGGGCACAAATCATATTGTATTTATTTGTGTGATAAGTGGTATCAAATATCACGACATCTCCAAAACATTGATAATCTAATTTGGAGGAACCATCTCTAAAAAAAAAATTAGTCATTCGATTTTGATCATCCACTTGAACTGTGTAAAAAAACATTGGATTTTATGATTGCTTGGACTTGAAATAATTAATGAGAGTTTGAGCATCCCCTACTTCTATTGATTTTGATTTTTCAGATTGCAAAAAGTTGTGACATTATAAAAAGAGGAAAAATCATAGCTGAGATGAAAAATTATGTATATAAATAAAAAGAGGAATACATAGAAGCTAAAACACAACCCAATATAAAATCAATTTGTCTGTCAATAATGCTCATATAAGCAAGTTGAAATTCCTCTTATTTCATGTAGCTTAAATTTATATTTTTAATATTTTACAGTTAAATATGTGACGTTTAGCCCACTCATCGCATATTTAACCACATATATTTATACATGTGTGTGATATATATATATATAGTCTTTTGGACTTGGAGATTTACCACAACTTCAAATTCTAAATCATGAAATCTAGAATTCGACCAGATTGAAAATTCTCTTAATTTCAAGTGTTTTTTTTTCTTCCTTGAATGGGATGTTTTTTGTTTTTATATATAAGGCAAAATGGTACAATTACAAAAGGATTCAAGATCCCATTTCGTTTCAGACGTCGATTCAATTTCAATACAAGCCAAGAAATGGAGTAAACTCCATTATCAAAGAAAAAATCCAAGCCCAAGACTGAAAGGGCAAAACATGAAAGCAAAAAGAAAAACTCAATGTTCTCGATCATCCTACTTTGACATGAAAAAACAAGACCGAGATGCTTATGGGTGAAAGAGGAATAGAAGAGGATAATAATATCAATAATATAAAAATAATAGAGCAGGAATGTACCTGAGATGCTTATGGGTGAAAGAGGAATAACAGAGCATGAAATTTTGTTATGTTGATGCTTATGGGTGAAAAAGGAAAAATAAAGCACAAAGTTTTTGTTGGGTTTAAAAGAAGAATTTGTTAGATGAGGATGGAGGTTGGGTAGGTTAGATGGAATGGTTTAGAGAGAGAGAGATGAACTTTGGATGATGCAAAAAGCCGGAAAATGAAACCAAAGAGAACTTTGGATGATGCAAAATACGGGATAACAAGCGATTTCTCTCAGTTAAGTTTTTTCATCTTTTGGTGCTGACATGGCAGCTTATATATAAGAGGTCATTTTGCCTTGATTATACAGTCTAGTCCATCAAATAAGCTATCTGACCTGATGGACTAGGATTATGCAATAATTTTTCTTCATATTCTTTAATTACATTGTTTTAATATGAATTTAGATTTCCTTATAACTTTAAATATAATGTATGAACTATATTCAAAATCTGAATACAAAGTTTTAACCCCAAGATAGATTTTAATACTTTAAATAAAATTAATTAAAGATTTCTATTACGTATGCCTGCACACAACATTCACAAATTGCTCAGACTAACTGAGAAATTTTGGCTGCAAATTCCACTATCTCAGTTGACACATATTCCTACAATGTCATTTAAAAATAAGGCTGGACTTTGCTCCACTTTTAAAAGAACAAAACTGATAACACTGTATTCTGCCTACAGATCTAACCCTATTCATTATCACCATGAAACAACAAACCTCAAGGATTGAAAGCCAAATCAGAACCAACCAGTCAATGTGAACAACATTTTCTTATTATTATTATTATAAAATGAAAGTGTCTTCTTCTTACGTATAAAATGAAAGGGTAAATATATATAGAGAGAGGTTTGTGGTTAGAAAAGGCTTCCTGTTTTTTCATGATCATCACTTTTTAATTTTTTATGCAGGACATTTCAAATCATCTGCCTCCACCCTCTTGTGTGTTTTTTTGGCCAAAAACTAGGATTAGGCTGCCTTATCACAAACAATAGCACCATTTGTTGTTAATCGCTGCCAACATCCCCACTAATTAAAGCAGCCTCTCATTTAGACTTAAATATCTTTGTCTTCAATACAAATAATAAGAAAAATGATACAAAATTTTTATACGTAACATTGTATGATTTTATTTTATTTTATTATTTTTACAAATTATGCACTCTTCATTTTTGTTTTAGTAGAGACATGAACAACAATTTTAACCACTTTAGTACACAAAATTAGGAGACACTCCCTCGGTCAAAGCAACCTAAATTTGTAAGAATAATTTTTAATATTTTTTTTATTATAACGTAGAAGGTAAATTAAGAATATGAAAAGGTAATACTACATTAGATTTTGAATTGAACCATTAGTTTAAACAATCAAAAATAAAAATGTGAATATGTTTTTATATTACCTCTGTTTAAAAAAGTTTCATACTTTGAAATTTGAACTCAAATGTGTATTATTTATAAATTTATAAATCGTATATACTTGTGTCAAAATTAATTTCAAACTTAATTTTACGTCACCACATGCTAACCCAATCCCAATTCCAATTAAGTGGGTGTTAAAAGTGCGATCCACTAAATCATGTTTCAGATCATATAATAATTTCTACATATTTTGAGATGCTTCAAATTTCCTTTTAAGGGTCAGATCTTCATGTAAGTTTGATTGTTGTTTTCATCTGAAAAGATTAAAAAGCTATTTTTTTTCGGAAATTAAAAAATCTGCGAGTATTATTTTACATCAAAACGCATCACAGTCGCTTTCCGTGTTCGAATCTCCGGTATATGCTTTCAGGACAACATATCAACTCGTCACACGCAAACAATAATCCTGTCACAAACCCAAACACGCAGTCACATATGTGCTCTACTCGGCATTTTCGTTTATCGATCGATTGAAATCGAATTGGGTTTTTTTAGGTTTTTTTTGTTGGGTTTGGGTTTAATGCATGGACGATGGAGTCTCTGCAGCAGAGACTGGAGTCATGGATCAGAGACCAACGGACGAAGATCTTGAAGGTCCCGTGGCCCCAACAATGGCTGACGCCCGTGAAGTGGCCGTGGACCAACGGCAGAGAACAGAGGAAGAGGATTCAGGAGGAGTACCAGCGAAGGAAGAGACAGCTTCACGAGCTTTCTAGTGCCGTCAAGGCCGAGTCGGTCGCTGATTTGCAGGACATTCTCTGTTGCATGGTGCTCGCCGAGTGTGTTTACAAGGTTCGATTTTTTTTTTTTCCCGAAATGTTTGGAAATTAGATTGTTTATGTACTAGAAACATAATCTATTGGAGTTTATAATCCATTTGACAGGCATTTAGTGGTTTTTTGGAATCTATTCATCGCTTTAACTATGCCATGTTCTGAAATTCTGTTAAAAATTTCATGCAGTATAGTGAAATGCTGTGCATGTTGTTCATAGATTTTGTGATGTAATGATATACAATGACAAATGCATTGGTGAAGTTCACCATGCCCGGTTTACCTGTTATATAGCGAGCTAGAAAATGTTCTGTGGATTATTGGAAAGAAGTTTGAGTTAATAGCAGTATTTTTAAGTGGGATCTTATAGATTAGAGTTACAAGAAATTGTATTGTTGACAGCTGATTCTGATTCATATTTGTTTTTATGATATCTTCAATCGTGGAAAAGGAAAATTTCAAAACAAAAATAAAAAATCAATCTTGAGCTATCAGATCAAATACAGAGGTAAATAGAGTAGTGAATATAAATTGAACGAAAGAAATAGTTGTGGGCAACATCTTACAATGTACTTGGATATGGTCATTTGTGTGCACCCACCCACCCACATATATATTCGTGTATACATCCAATAACTTTTCCCCTTTTTCTGTTAGCAAATTGGATTTACTCAATCAACAATATTGCTTGTATTGGTGGTTTCAATTGAATAAATATATATATTTGTTTAAGTTATGGTTGAACTGATTAAGCTTATGCTGTAAAAAGTTTTGGTACCCTTGATTCTATTACGTAATCACAAAATTGCCAAGTGTGTTCGCCTTACGATAATATTGCGATGGTATATTAGATCTTTGTGCCTATATTTGCGTATGGACTAGTAGTGAGCACGCATCTTAATGGCTTATGGTTATAGTCACAGTTCGGTGCATGCTTCTAATTGTTTTTTTTGGGACTCAATTGTTAATAAAATAGTAGTTCATTAGAATCATTACCATACTTTAAGAAGTTTATGCCTTGTGAGACCTGATGTTAAGAATGAGGTAGAGAAATGAATACAATCACTAAAGTAGTTGCCAAATAGTCAGTTCAACAAAGTCTTTGTATTAGTTATTTAGAATCGTCTGCCCAAATGCTGGTTCTCCTATAGCAGGGTTTCCTTCCTGTAAATATATATGTGGTTCTCTCTCCTATATTTCATGTATACTTTGGTTGCCTCCGATTTTTAGTGCCTTAGAGTTGATTGTTCATTTATTTAGAAAAGAAGAATGTTATTTTTCCTTTTGGGCAAAATAATTATGTCCATAAAAATTTGACTAGATGATATATGTTAGCTTTTAGCTACTTAAAACAAACCTTACCCTCTCTTTGGGATTGGCAATGGCTTTGTGAAGATATGATAGGATAAATGTATGTTAACGTCTGTCATGGTTGCAAATTCTCTAAATTGGCGACCTCAAAAAGCTTGAAATTGCAATATCGCTGTGACTAAAGCTTAACTGATTATTTTCAATATGCAAAGCTGGCAAATCCTTGGCTATACAGTTTATCCATCTAATCTTCAAATCAAAAGTGGTGCTGCATGGGAGGGCATTTTAAAGAAGGTTAAAGTTACCTGTCTGGTTTGTAACTCTGAGCATTTCAAATCCCGAAGCATTTTCTATTTCCCATTTATCGAAAAATCCCATTCATTATTCGCTCATTCTTCATCGAATCATATAGATGATCTAGCAATGATGGAATTTGTATTCTGTTTACTGAATCACATGAAGTTTTACCCAACCCCATATATTTAATGGAATGTATGAAATACGTATGAACGGAGGAATAAAGAGAATTTTCTACTCAAATTCGAATTTGCAACAGATACAAATGGAAAGAAATTGATAAAAGATTCCTGGAAACAGAATTTGTCCACCTAGACTTATTATGTTATGGGATTTTGTATAGAATATCAAAATAAAAGTGATTCTATTTCTACCATTATTATGATATTACATATTCCAATCCAATTGAATACCAGAAAAATAAAAAACTGAAAACAGAAAACCGTACAAGAAATTCTGTTTTGTTCAATTTTCTGAAAACCGTTTTCTGAAAACTCAGTTATGAAAAGGCCTGTTTTTAGAGAACTGTCTTTTATTGTTCTTTGAAAACTGTTTTTTGTTCTCTGAATTCTTAAGAACTGTTTTCATAGTTACAAACCAAGCATGCCCAATATTTTGCATTTTTTGTGATTTTCATTCTTCTTTGCATGATAGAGACCTGCGGCAGAGGTGGTTCGTGCAGTGAACAAATTTAAGGCTGATTTTGGAGGGCAAGTTGTTTCCTTAGAGCGTGTGCAACCTTCTTCAGATCATGTTCTTCACAGGTGGATAAAATTATGATATTCATTTGAGTATTTTACTATTTTGTTATCCTTTTTTTTTTTTTTGATAAGATACTATTTTGTTATCCTTCTTTTTTTTTCCTGAATGGGGTCTTTTCTTTTTTTTTTTTTTTTTTTTTTAAATTTTATAAATTGAAATCAAAGAGTACAATTACAAACGGAGTGAAACTCCAAGACAGCAAGAGGAATGGATAAACTCCACTTCCAAGGAAAAACCTAAACAAAAAGAGAAAACAAGCAACTGAACTTCAACTTCAAAAAGCCAACCGCAACTGCTTCCATCATTGACAAATGATCAACAAATCTTCCAGCCTAATCTTGAGATATTGAATCACCTCCCAAATAATGCTTCTAGCAGCATAGTCAGAAGAATCTTTAATCCCCTCATGTAAGTAAGAATTCCTGCTGGACCAAATTTTCCAAATAGTAACAGCAAAAACAGCCCCCAAGGACTTAGACTTTGTACATTGGACAGTAGAATTCCTAAGAAACCAATCTGTCATGTGTAGCATAGAAGAAAAACTCGGCAGCTCCATATTCAATAAACAACAAAGTTCTTGCCAAATAGCAACAGCATAAGTACACTCACAAAATAGATGATCATTAGAATCAATATTTACCAAACAATTATGACAAATGGGGACAAGGATCAAGCCACGTTTCTGCAGATTAACAAAACTGAGATTCTTATTGTGAAGAATAATAGTGACTCCCACAGCAATTCTAGGTCGACAGCAACCCCAAAATAACTTACTCCACTGAACTGGTTGTTTTTTGAGTCTACAAGAACTCCAAGCTGCTTTCAGAGTGAATTTACCATGCTTCCAAGTGATCATATCAGCACCATTCTGCAATTCCACCCTTTGAATAGCAGTATAGACCTAAGCAGGTAAATCAATTGAGTTATTCCATACTCCATTCTGAAGTATAGCAGAAACCATGGAATTTCTGTCAATATATCTGAACCTGGTAGCTCCAAATTTCTGAATTAATGGCTGCTGATTACGCCATGGATCAGTGAGCAACTTGAACTGCAACCCATTCCCAACCTTGAAATCAGAATTCTCCAAAAGCATCTGTCTAGTCTCCAACATTTGCTTCCATATAGATGAATCCCCCAATTTTGGTGTCACAGTCCAAAAACAAACTTGTTTAAGATAAACAGCCTGCAGCCATTGAATTCACAACTTCTCTTTATTTTGAACAAAATCCCAACACAAGGTCATTTTAGCTGCAAAATCAATATCATGAACTCTCCGAATATTAAACCCCCCTTCAGTCACAGGAAGAGTTACTTGACACCACTTTACTTGAGCCATTCTCTTCACATCTTGCTTTCGACTCCATAGAAACCATTTGAACCTTTTTTCCAACTGATATTTAATAGCCCAAGGAATTTTGAACCCAAACACCCAATGATAAAGATAGGAGTACAAAACTGATTTAATCAACTCAATTCTTCCTGCAAGAGATAGATTAATAGTATTCCAATGAGCCAATTTCATATTCACTTTATCAAGTAACACACCAAAATCACCTCGCCACAGTTTATAATTTGACAAAGGCACACCCAAATATCTAAAAGGAAATGCTTCAGTCTGAAATTTTAGAATTCGAGACAGCCTTCTTCGACCTCTAACAGCTTTAGAGAAAATGATAGAGCTCTTATCTTGATTAACTTGAAGACCAGAGGCAGCAGAAAAATTCTTAAAGACAGTATCCACATTTTTTGCAGTTGAAATATCAGCCTTAACCACCATAAGAAGATCATCAGCATAGAAAGCGTGGGAAATGTTCATACCAGCAGCAGCCACAGCTTTGCACACATGAATATCCAGCCTGAATCCCATTCGACATTAAAGTACTGAAGTATTCTGTAACAAAAGAAAACAAGAGAGGAGATAAGGGACACCCTTGTCTGATCCCTCTAGTAGCTCCAAAATACCCAACTGGCACTCCATTACACAATATAGAGAATTTAGAGGTAGTGATACACTGAGTGATCCACCCTATCCACCTGCTACTGAAGCCATGAGCTTGCAATCTCCACTGAATAAATTTCCAATTCACTGAGTCATACGCTTTCTTCAAATCCACCTTCAAAGCAATAGTAGGATCACCTTTCTTCTTACCAAAATCCTTAACCAAATCAGACACCAAAAGAATATTATCATGCAGCCGTCGACTCTTAATAAAAGCTGATTGTTCAGGGCCTATTAGAGGGGGCAGAACCATACTCAACCCGTTTGCTAAAATCTTGGAAATAATTTTGTATATTGTATTGCAGAGAGCAATACGCCTGTAATTAGCTATCTTGTCACCATGATTAGCTTTTGGAAGAAGAGTCAGGAATGTAGAATTAATTCCTTGAGGGAGCTGGCAGTATTCAAAGAAGTGGAGCACAGATGCTATAACATCTTGACCCACTACTCCCCAGAATTTCTGAAAAAACCTAGCAGGAAACCCATCTGGACCAGGAGCTTTATCAGGATGAAAATTCATAACCACAGCTTTGATTTCTTCACCTGTAATAGGACAATCTAAAGACATACTCTCTGCTGGAGTTAAGGTTTTTCTAGGAGTACAATCCACTTGAATCCCCTCTCCCTGCTGAGTATAAAGATCAGAATAGAATTTGATCAACCATTCTCTAATAACCTTAATATCTTCAGACTTTTCTCCAGTTGTATCCTGTAGCTGAGTAATAGCATTAAACCCTCTCCTTTGTTTGACTAAATTGTGAAAAAATGCAGTACATTTATCCCCCTCCTTCAGCCATTTACTTCTAGATTTTTGGGCCCAGACAATCTCTTCAAGAGCTAAGACATGTTGCAGGTTCCCACAGGCTTCCCTTTCTCTAATAATATAGTCTTCATTCATAGTGTCATTTAACATTTCCATTTGTATTTTCAGTAAATTATCCCTAGCAACTTGAATTTGCTCTGAAACTGTACCCCTTTGCTTATTCCAATCTTTGACAGCTTCCTTCACAGCTCTCAACTTTTTCTGCAGCACATGTAAAGGATTTCCAGAGCCTGTAACCTCCCAAGCTTTGGCAACCACTATATCAACTTCCCTTTGGTCACACCATATCTTAAGAAATTTAAAAGGTTTAGGACCTGCAGACAGTCCACATGCCACTGAACAGCTAAACCATAGTGATCAGATAATGAAGCTGCCGTGAAAGAAGCTTTAACATCATTGAAGTGTTGAAGCCACCTGTCATTTGTCAACACCCTATCCAACTTGGCATTAATCCTCCTCTGAAGACTCTGTTTGTTACACCAGGACCACTCACCATTGTTAATAGGAATATCATCCATTTTGATGTCATAAAGAACACTATTGAATTCATCCAGTCTACTTTGTGGAATTCTCAATCCACCTTTCTTCTCCATATTGTATCTAACCATATTCCAGTCCCCCAAGGCAAGCAAGGGTCCTTGAATTTTAGTAGATTGAACTTTAAGAGACTTCCACAACTCCCTTCTATCAGAAGCTCTATTTGCAGCATAAACTGCAGTAACATGAAAACTACTCCCAGAGCCTATATGTTGAACCAGTAGAAGCATAGATTGAGTATCTTCTTGAATCAACATGACCTTGAAAATAGACTTTTTCCAGCCAAACCAAATTTTTCCCAAAGTACTAGAGTTATAATTAGCAAACCAAGACCACTGAGATCCAAGCTTTTTCTGTATTCTAACAGATTTCCCTTCCTTAATCCTAGTTTCCACAAGGACAGTTAAAGCAAATTGATTATCAATGAGCCATTGCTTTACTTCCTTTTGCATAGGGGGTCGATTAAGCCCCCTCACATTCCAGGCACCTAACATTAATGAGAAAGAGGTAGTGTGCCACTACCATTCAGTTTACCTCTAGTCACTCTGTCTGAAGGTTGAATAAAAGGTTTCTTGCGCTGCCTTGATTTCCCTTCTCCTTGATCTTCTATTGAAGCACTCTGAATAGGATCAAATTCAGCCTGCTGGACTCCTTCATTAACAACACCAACACCCTCCAAGTCCTCCTGTGAAATAATAGGACCTATTGTACCCTTTGGGGGAACATTAGCAGGAATTATATCAGTAGTGATTGGATCTTCGAACACATGTAAACTCTCCACTGGGTTCTCAGTAATAATTTCCTTATTGGTTGTATCTACTAGCAGACCAGAATTAATAACACTAGCTTCCAAGGGAATATCTTGAACACTATCTGGACCATCCAGTTTTCCATTAGCAGTCGTACAAACATTGGAGGAATTCTGTTCTAAATCAATAATCTCATCTTCCTTATGGAGATCCTCAATAACCCCTTCTGTCAAAGCCAACACAGCAAAACCATTCGAAGTAGGAACAATATTTTCTGTTTGAGATTTCCTCTGTGGCATTATATCAAGCACCTTCTCTGCATCCACAACATCAACCAGTTTTCCTTTCTGTTTAATCACCCATTTATCAACAGTTTTCTTGGGTTTAGCCTGGACAATTTTCTAAGGACATTGGGCTTCCAGATGATCAACGCGTTTACAGAAATTACACACTATTGGTTTCCATTCATACTCAAAATCAATAGCACAATCACAGCCATGAAAGTCCACAGTCATACAATTCGGCAAGACTTCCTTGACATCAACTTCCACCATAACTCTCACATATTCTCCTTTATCACGATGATACTCCGGATCATCCATATAGATAGGATTAGCAAAAGAAGAACAAATCTTGGACACAGAGCTTTCATTAGGCAAATCATGAATCTTTAACCATATCGGCATTGTCTCCATCACTTCCTTTACCAGATTCACATTCTTATCCCATTTCTTCAAAATTATTGGCGGCCCCTCAAATGTATGAATACGAGATAATACCAACTGAATATCACTTTCATTTTTAAATCTCACCATAAAAAATCCTTCCTTCAGGTACACTATTGTAAAATCCTTAGACCAATATTTCGCCACAAACGCTTTGAAATATGGATAATAAGGTCTTTTTCCCATAACATATCCCACTACTGAGGTCTTCCAATAGGCAACTTCCTCTGCAACGTCTTCCTCAGTAATAGAAACCTTCTTCCCTCGACACTCTTTATGGAACTTAAGATTTTTGATGACGAAAGTGCAGAATTATCAAAGAAACTACTGTAAGTAGGTCGTGTTGGGGTTGAAATCCAGCTGGAATCAATCGCCGGCATCAAGGGGGTGGTGGTTTGGCCCTCTTCCATAGTGGCCGTACCCCCTTCACGTGGAGATGAGGAACCAAAACCCTAATCGTCTCTGAATCGGAAGAGAGAAAAAGGGTAAAAAAGGATATTCGGCTGCATGGATTAGATGATCGTTTTTATTTTGTTATCCTTCAAATCCCCCCTTTAGTATTTCCCTAATAATTGTTTACTGTTTTGTGAAATTTATAATTATCTGAAAGTATTAATAGTGGGAACATGCCTTTTCATATTTCTTTCAGGTTTATTTGATTGTTCATTATCAGAGTGTATAATTTTTTTATTTTGAAGATTCTCTTGATCTAATGGTTCCAGAGGGATTTTAATGGCTTATTCTGTTTATCAATGTTATTTGAAAAGAATTCCAACCCGATCTTATATCTTGGTGTTTTTGGTTTTAAGTTTGAGCAGCTTGACCCAACCCAAGGCGAGCACCATGTATATGTTAATAATGTTATGTGTAAATATAATAAAGTCATACAAGTTAAAAAACCAAGGGTTGTAGTCCAGTGGTAGAAGGTCAAGGGTTCAAGTCCCCATATGGGACGGGCAATGTGGGTGTGAGTTTCTTGCCAGGACAAAAAAGAAAAAAAAAAAAAAAGGGTTAAACGAGGGCTTAGAGTGGGTTTAGTACCACAGACTAAAAGCTGGGTTGGTTTTGGCCTCTTGTACTCATTTACTTTTCTGCCCATTAGATTGAGCATGGATGGGTGTTCAATTTGCCTGAGTTGCAGCCCTACAGCTCAGGTTGATTTTTGCCCTCTTCCTATACTTGTCTTAAATTGGAACAGTTTCACTCCTTACTTTTTGGTACTTTCTTTTCTTATGGCGTGTAGTCTAACAGTTGTAACTAGCAATTTATGGGTTTAAACGAATACCTTTACCAGTATTGAGGCTAGAGAGCAAGAAGGTGAGAAAGCCTACTTATGTTATTAGTAAAGCCTATATATATATATATATATATATATATTACAGCTGTACAATTTTTGTTTATTAAAGAAAATATATTCTAACATGTTCAGTTTGTGCTCAACTACATTTGTCATGCATCGAAAATTATGTCCGTTCTACTTGTGCTTTTCTTAGCATTTTTTTTCTTCTCCTCATTTTTCAAGTTTTTACCTTTGCTTCTACTGTTATTTCTACCTTAGCTTCTAACTCATATCAATCGCCTCTTCTCTTGTCCCAAGTTGCTGTTACTTTTAGAAACCTGTTCTTCAATTTTGGCACTCATTTGCCCAACACTCTCGGTCAAATTGTGCTCACAATTTGGATATAATGCCTCAACAGCAAAGCATGGCAACTTAAAGTACATGTTTTGTTTAAAGACGTATTCTTTCTAGTTTGGTTTCTCACATAGCTTCTTTTTGTTGCTCTCTTTGTAGGTATTTATTAGCAGAAGCAGGGGACACATTATTTGCTTCCTTCATTGGAACAAAGCAGTACAAGTAAGTGTGATACGTTATCCTTTGTTCAGCCTCTATTTGTCATTCTCTCTAAAAATATGATCTTTTTGGTCTATTATAAAGGGATGTCATGGCTGATGCGAATATATTTCAAGGTGCTATATTTCGTGATGACGCTGTTGAAGATACTCACGGGATTGACACTGCTGAATCTGTCCAAATTAATAGTGAAAAGGGAAACACAGATAATCTCTCAAAACCCCTTGAAGCAAAATCTAAGCAACCGAAACCCACACCTCAGCCTGCTGCTCATCGGGTAAGTTTGCTGATTATTGTTTTGGACGTAATTCGTCGCATATTGCACAGTCAATATTATACAGATCCACACACACTAGTAAAGAGCACGTGCAAATGCACGTGATTGTGTCTTTGATAAATTGTGAAAAAAAGTTACTTGACCAGAGGTTAATGCAATGGTGGAGTAAAATTGTAAATTTAAATACGTTAATTTTGAAATCAATATTGTTATCATCCAATCTTGAAAATCATAAAAGAAGAATTTATAACACACTTCAAAAAGGAAGACATCACAATTAATTTTCAAACAATTCACTCCTCATTGTCAAAATTGAAAATTAAAACCCATAAATATAGAATTATAATTTATATTCAACTGATATGATTAAGCGCTATTCACATGTTTGTGTGTATTGAATTAAAGTATCTTTAGTCAAGTGAACTACTTCATAATTGGTTGTTGTATGGGATAAAATCCTCATAAAAACTATTTTTAGTTTTACTGTCTTGATCCTTGAGAGTTATTCTCACAAGGACATTCTTAATGTATGACCATGACTGTTGGGGTTCTTGTTACATTGGCCCAAAATAGTTTTGTACCCATCCAGTAGTGCTGCATCATAGATTTATATGCAAACTTCTAGTGGTGATTTGCCCAGTCGTTCCTATAAGAAGGGAGAGAACAACTGAGAAGTGAATTATTAATCACTTTCAATGAAACATAAGAAATAAAAGAACAGAGTGAAAAAGACATCTTCAAATTGGGAAGATTTAAAAAACGTATTTTTTCACTTGGAATTTTGAGTAATTTTAGTTAACATCGTATCATATCACAATGTTATAAACTAATGATTAATTCAAACATGAAAAATGAGAACTGCAAAGTTAACCATGAATTACTTAAGATGTATAGAGAGAGAGAGAGAGAATCAAATTGCACCCATCGTTAGACTAGTTTTCATACACCTCTCAATAACTTTTATGTAAAACCGTATTGTGTTTATCCTGCCTAGTGTCAAGTCAATCAAATATGGGTATTTTCCTGATTTAGGAACTCATATTCCTCTCTAAATGTATAATTAATTTGAGTTCTTAGATGTATGATAACACGAGGGAGGTGCATCTTTTAGATCACCTAAAGATGAGTCCTATAATAGGATATTGACGGTGTGTAAAATTATTTGATTCTCACACGAAGTTTAGAAGGATTAGGGAATAGGTATCATTATGGATGAAAGATAAATTCATTCACTATACATTAGTGATCCAAACCCGACGAAAGTCCATGGAATGATATCATGGTAGAGAACAGTGGCAGCAGCCTTTTAAAGTATATAAAAGGCGTGGCAAGGAGAATAGTGGCAAGGAGGGTTCTAAGGCTCAAACCTTAATTTGGCACATGCTAGACGATGGGGTCCACTTGGAGTCTTGCATAATTAGGGGGTTTGGTCAAATTTCATTATTTTGGTAATTGCATTAATTATGGAAAATCTGCATTGTTTTGGTAAATTGCATAATTAGATTAAATTGCATCAATTAAGTAATTTAAGTTATTTGTTACTTTATTAAGTTAGAGTCAACTTTTGATTACCTCCATTGTAGGGAAATCCAAGGGTCATCTTTTATTATAAAAGGATACTATGTAATTCTGAATACTGAGCGAATGATTGAATAAAATTATCCTTTGAGATTTCTTTGTGAGTGATTCACATATTCTGAGGGTGTGAAGCCTTCTCTAGGTGTGATACATAGGTCCTATCGGAGTGATTCCAATAGGCTTTTCTTTGTTAATTCAATCCTTCTTTTCTACTAACAACCCCTGAATCTTAGCTTTGTTTCTGAATTTCCTGCCCATAACTCTTATTTACTTTCTTCTATTTGAGCCTGTTCTTTGTCCTACATCATATCAATTATTTCTCCTTAGAAATGCAGATGCATTTTAATTTTCAAACCAAAAGTTCAGTGCTTGAGGATTGGATGCAATTGTTAATCCAATTTTCAGTTCATATGCTTCTAATTTAGACCCGTGAAAGGAAAATGTTTCCAATGAAATGCGATTATGCGTAAAACATTAATGGCCTTATTCAGTATTGATCCTGTCTACACAATTGTTTGGAGTGAACTAAATACAAATTTAACCATTGACATTAACTATACAAATTGGCACCTTTATAATTGCTGTGTAATATAGTCACAGAGGGAAAAAATGTAAAAGAGAAAGTGAAAAGGAACGATGTGGCTTTCGTAAGTATGAGATTGAGAGAAAGGGAACAAGGTGTGCGAAAGATTGAGAGAAAGGGAACAAGGTGTCTTTCGCAAAATCAAAGATAACTTACCTTCCATTCAATAAAGAAATTCACGAGTTATTGATAAAATACCTCATGGAAACAAATAAAACAATTTTCACACCAATTTTCACATTTAATTATGGACAATGAGACAGTATCATAAAAACATAATAGAATTGAATAAGGTTCTCTTCTGGCTGAGAATCTCATTGGCATTGAAGCGGGACACTGCTTCAGTCCACTCATTACTCTATCACTCTTCTGTACAGATTTGCTGCCTTTTGATGGAGAAAACGATCTGCAAATTTTCGCTGCAGTAGATACCTTAGGAGACTTTCTGCTCAAACTTGTGGGTCTTTTGGGTGAAACAGAAAGTGGATGACTCTTGATTTTCACCTGAAACTTTGACGTGGTGGGGTCACTTGGTGTTTCATCTTTAAGAATGAGTAAAAATTGAAATTGGGAAGGTCATTTGGTGTGTTGGCTCTTCAAATTCTATGTCAAACACCCTCTTCAAATTCCATATTTTATTTTAATTAAAAAATGAGTGAATATGTATATAAAATATAAAAAATATTTTGGCTTTTATATGTAGTGTGTGTGTGTGTGTGTGTGTGTATGCAATGCTAATTGATTTACCCCATACACACGGACAAATACAGTACGTATTTTATCTATTTATTTTGCTTATTTTTCTTTCAAAATTTTATTTCTAGGGATTCATGGCTCGTGCTAAAGGGATACCTGCATTAGAGTTGTACAGACTTGCTCAGAGAAAGAAAAGAAAGCTTGTGCTATGTGGACATTCACTTGGTGGAGCAGTGAGTTTGAGTGATTTATTTTGCTTGCAGTCTGGCCAATGATTGTTCATTTTTAATATCTTTTTGAATGCTCCCTCTTTTTTGTTGTCTAGGTAGCAGTCTTGGCTACCCTTGCCATTTTGAGGGTTATTGCTAGTTCATCCAAAGAATATGACAAAGTTCAGGTTAAGTGTATCACATTCTCCCAGCCTCCAGTTGGAAATGCTGCTTTAAGAGAGTACGTTGAAATCGTCTTCTATATTATTTTAGAATTATTTAGTATTTTTATGTAGGTTGTAACAATTTTTTTTTCTTATTTCAGCTATGTTAATAGAAAAGGGTGGCAGCGCTACTTTAAGAGTTATTGTATTCCAGAGGACCTGGTGCCCCGTATCTTGTCCCCTGCATATTTTCATCATTATAATGCGCAATGTCTGCCAATGCCTGTTGACACTGGTACTACCAGTTTGTTAATGCCGAAACAAAAAGCAGAAAAACAAAAAGAGAATGAAGGGGAGCGGCTGGTTCTGGGTTTAGGCCCTGTGCAGAATTCTGTTTGGAGACTTTCGAGGCTTGTCCCTTTAGAGGGTGTTAGAAGACAATTCAATAAATACATGGGAAAACAAGTTGATCCTCTTGAAACGATTTCTGCTAATGATTCCTCTATGACATCTTCATTTGATGATGTAGTATCTGCTCCACAATCTCTTGAAATTGAAGAAGGTTCTGATGGCATTTCCCTTAAACCAATCTCTGACATGGAAAAATCGGCACAAGGTGAATTTAAAAATGGAAAGTCATCTGGAAAAAGTAACACTAACGGTGGGGATAGTAGGGCATGGCGTAGGGTGCCTTATTTACCTTCATACGTACCATTTGGGCAGGTAGTTATTGTGAACTGATAGTTCCCCTTTCATATCTTTCTTCATGGTTTAATGTATATGTAGTGACATCGTGAAATATTTCTGTAAAGCAACATGCTTTAGATAAGCAACATGCTTTAGATAGGAAGAATTGTTGCAAGACTGGAAGTTGTGATACAAGATTCATAATGATTTAGTTAATAATATCTTACATGCCTGCTTATTTACTTATAGTTTCTTCTCATACTATTAATTGCTGAGCAGCCTACGTAGAAGATTTATGTTCTGTTTTATGCTATTGATTTGTTAACCATCTGTTCTTGGGTTGGTCCTTTGTGAGATTTTGTAAGCTGGTAATGACATGGTATGTGCAGAACATAAGTTTGTACTTTGTGCTCATTGAAATTCCATGTAACATTTCAACATTTCATTTCTAGTATCATTATATGCTTTTCCTAGTCTGCTAAAGAAATAAAATCATGTGACTTTTAGCTTGACTTTCTATCATAAGCTTATGTCGCTTCTTTTCAAGTTTTTATTGCGATGAATTTGACATTAATTATGTCATTTAAACAGCTGTATCTCTTGGGGGATTCATCGGTGGAGTCACTGTCGGGTGCAGAGTACTCAAAGTTGACATCAGTATGAATTTCGTTTGCTTATTCACCTTCAAATAATGGTTTTGTCTTCTCTCGGGAATTTTAGCATTTTGTCGTGCACGAATGCATGAGTTATATGGTTGTCTTTTTATTCCCCCCTTCCCCTTCCCCCTTTTCTGAGTAGCTTTTCATGTAATTGATCTTTATATGCAGCTTTGAGAACCTCTCATTTTGTTTGCTTTCCTCTGGCTAAAACATTTTCAGGTCAGGTCTGTGATTGCTGAATTAAGGGAACGATTTCAGTCACATTCAATGAGGTCATACAGGTCTCGGTTTCAAAGGTAATATCTTACTGGTTTGTCAATTATCAGTTTAACTGATGATTGGCAGTCATGCAAAATTGCACCCATGTGTATTTGTTTGAGTGTTAGCATGTCATGAATCATGCATTGCAGTTGTTGAGATAATTCTGCACATTTGACCTATTTTTTATTTCATTTTGTTTCTTCCTCCTTGCCGTGTTTAAATTTCTTTGCGCACAATCTTTCTTGCTATGCACATTCCATAATTACATTGTTGTGTTGTTTTAATTATTATCTCTCTGCTTCTGGGATGATGTTTGAGAACTGGTAACTGAGTTTTTTGGTGGAATAACTAATTTCTTAATTATGGCTCTGAACATTGATTTGCATTGCTATTTCTTCCTCACCATGATAAAACTTCTTTGCTGGTCCATCTTCCTTGCTATACAGATTCCATAATAACATAGTTAGTGCCAGTTACATGATTATATCTGACATCTGACTTCTTTTGATGAATGGCCTAACTTCTTCAGCTGTGAGTTCAAAACCTTGATATGTATTGCTATTGATAATTGGAGTTTCTTTTGGATGTTGGTGGTTGATCCCAGAAGAAGTTATGGTTATTTGCTCACTTTGAAAAAACTTTATTGAAGTTTGAGGAGACTTTGTACTTCTGTAATTAATGTAAACTATGAAACTTGCCAGCAAACTGTAATCCTCTAAAATGCCTAATTTTTTTCTTTATTTTTCTTAATTTTGAAATATAAAGCAAATCGGACATGTTAACAATATTCTCAACACAAATTATTTATTCTTTACTTGAGGCACACTTCTGCCTTTGAAGATCATTTCAGTGCCTATTTCTCCAACTTGTTAAACTAGTCATGCAAATGCTTCATAATGTGTATTGACATAAACTAGCAAGACAAAAGGAAAAGAAAAGGGTATAACCATTATTATAAGAGCTCGATATAATTATTATTTTGGTACTTTTAAGAACATTAGTTATCACAGTCTTTGTAAGAGACACCTTCGTGGGGTTAAATCCCGCACTAGAGTTATGATCTGGTACCACTTGGACTAAAGGTTCGTGGTTATTTAATTGGTCTGATCGGCACATATGACAGACATAATGCGATTGTGGAGGCATGAGGTGCATATGGTATATCTAGTGAGAGTTTCACGCATTGGGACATGAGTTGTAGGCCGATTTACTTAGAGTTTCTTGCCTGTTTCCTGATAAACTTTTCTTAGTTCACGTTGTGGAGAGTTTTATAGCTGAGGTTCAAATGCCTTTTGAAACCATTGTTAGTTGCATAAAACACTTTAACCTTATGGCTTGCCATTTGACTAAATAATTGTGCCAACTGGTTTTATGTTGTATGGATTTGCCAGTTGACTAAATAGATACGCCAACCTGCTTTTGTTGGATGAAAAGGGGTTAAAAGTTATGTATTTCCTGTGTTTTCTTACTGTTATATAATCTATTCTATTAGCATCCAAATAGGCAATTGGCTTTGATTTTGTTTTTGGCACACAATTTGTTGAACCACAAATATTCAACCTGATTGATAATAAGATATCTAAAATCACTCAATGGCATTATTGGATCTCTTTTTAAGCAAAAGATTTGTTTCACTGTGCTTATCAGATTTTGTCTGGTTATGTAAATACACATATTGTTCACTTTGCTCGATAGCACATTTTCACTTTCTACTTTGACCAGATATTTCAATTTGGTTTTTCCATAAAAATGAGAAGTACTTTTGCAATAGTGGTCCTGGATTTGAACGTCGAATTGATGAGTTTGTTGTATTATGATATGAAGATATATCATCATATGTTGTAGATTGTTGATTACCGATTTAGTGATTTGATTATGCCTCTTCAAACAGTTCTTTTAACCTTTTTAACGTGAAATTGATCTGCATATTGTTGTATGTTGCACGATTCTCTTTTCTTTTAAGTAGTTCCTTTTAAAATTATTGGCATTGTCTGTCTAGAACAATGGGTTTTCATCACTAATATCACATTTTTCTTGCAGAATCTATGACATATGCATGAGTGATAGTGCTTTCTTGGGAATGGAGCAACTGCAGCAATTTCCGCATTTACAAAAATGGCTAGGCATTTCAGTTGCAGGTACTGTTGAACTTGGGCATATTGTAGAGTCTCCAGTTATTCATGCAGCTACTTCAATTGTTCCTCTTGGATGGAGTGGTATTCCTGGTCAGAAGAATGGAGAACCTTTCAAAGTAGATATTACTGGTTTTGGATTACATTTGTGTACTCTGGTACAAGCTCGAGTAAATGGCAACTGGTATTGTCCTTTATTCTATTATTTATGTTTTTTACTATTGATTTTAGGTTTTTGATATCCAAGAGTTTATTGAGCATCTAATACAATCAAGTAGTTAAAAATTTGAAGCATATGCTTAGTCTTACCACTTGGATAAGATTGTGACATATCACTTGCACCTTCTTATATTTTTTTTCCTAGTTGATACTCACACACCCACCCTCAAGGAATTGTTTGCACCTAAGAGGATTTGAACCTTAGACCTGATGCTTCCTGAGGCACCAGGGCCAAGTTCTTACCCACTTGAGCCAACCCCTTGGGGTTGCTCTTTCTTATATTACTAGAAGAAATGATAAATAATTGTCATCATTTTATCAGTCATTGAGCTACTGAGACCCAATTGTACCATCTGTTTTTCCTTGCCAAATATTTAAGTTTTTCCTTGACACGCACACACTGGTTACAGCCTTTTACTTGATTCAAACATTCCTCATTTGGTTCAATGACTAAATGAAGGCTTTCAGAGTTCTGAAGAAAAACTCTTGTTTGGACTGTTGCTTAGGAAAAATAAATTATATGAAGTTTGATTAACTTTTCTGGGTAAAATAAATTATTCAAAGTTTTCTACTTTAGTTGGCAGGCTTCTTTCTGAGACACTCCCCGAAAACATTCTATTTGCTAGCAAGTTTGGGAGAATGCAGATAGTAAATAAACATCTAGGGCTTCATTAAATAGAATAGTATAATTTCTGATATATTAACTGATCTTTGAATTTAAATACTAGTGAGAGGTCAAATGGTAAAAACCGCATAAATGTAATTGGGATATATTAAAACCCATCAACCTCTATATCTGGACAATGGACATGGTGATCTTAGGTTTTATTAATGAGCCGAGCTGAGCTTTAGGTTGTTTGGGCTCGGCTCGCCTAGACCAGAGAGGTGTTCGGGCTCAGCTCGAGCTCGGCCTAGCCAGGCTCGAGCTCATGTGCGTATGTGTATATATTATGAATCAAGTAACCATTTTTGGAGACAAGAAATGGCCACCATATCCTTCAAATTGACTTCCAAGTTCACTGATTAATCACCCATCTTCTCATTCTTCATTGTCTCCTTCACCAGCTTCAAATTCATCAATCTCCGATTCATCAACAATATTATCAGAGGGAATATTAAGCTAGAGATAGAAAGAGAGAGACCTAACCTTGATGTAGCCCGTGGAGTAGAAGGACGGTGCAATAGATGGATTGCCGTTGCAGATGCCAGTGGGGTTTCAGAAGCCTGATTGCAGCTCCTTGCGGCTATGTTTTAGGTTTTTTTTTTTTTTTTTTTTTTTAATTTTTTAATTATTTTTTTTTAATCTAACCCTTTATGATATTTTTTTTGATAAGTAATAATTGAAATAAAAAAGGCGTTCAAGAGGGGAACGCATCCCTTATACAAAAGTGGAACTAGGGATTAAGATCTCAAAGAAGCCAGAAAAATAATTAAATCTTCGGAAGAAGAACAGGACTTTCTCTTCACATAACTGAAAAGAGAGCGTATGATGTGAAGTTTCAGACTTGCCATGGACGATTCTTTCCCTTCGAACATTCTATTATTCCTCTCCTTCCAAATGCACCACCAAACACAATGTGATACAACTCTCCAATAATTGCGAACAACGCTACTCACACAGCATCCTCTCCATATACAAATCAAATCCTTAGGATAACAAATCTAACCCTTTATGATATTATACAGTTAATCTAATGGCTGAGATGAAAGCATGATTTGGGCCAGTGGGCTACTTAATAAAATGGACTTTACTTGTTAGATGGGCTATACTAAAAAACTAATTGGGCCAATGAAATTATATATGAATTCGGGCTAAATTTGTATATATGGGCTAGGTTTTTAAATAAAATTATATTTTTGTAAACGAGCTTGTTCACAAGCCCCAGGAGCCGAGCTTAACATTGTTCAAGCTCGGCTCGTTTACTCAACGGGCCTGAAAAATGTGCTTGAGCTCAGCTCGTTTACTAAACGAACGATCCTGAGCTGAGATTTTAACGAGCCGAGCCTGAGCTGTTTTGAACAACTCGGTTCATTTGCAGCCCGAATCTGAGGGAATCAGAGCTCCTAGTCTTGGTCCATGTAGTCTTATTTTCAATCCCGTCTACTTATGTATAGTGAGTTTTTACATAGAGATTTTAGGTTTTCTTCCTCTTAATATTTCCTTGGCTTAGACCATGTTAGCCTTGTTACTACTTACTAGACACTTCTGATTCTAGAATATGATCTCATTTCTATCTTTAATTTTCTCTGATTCACTCTAAGACTTGTGGCAGGATTCATCGTCTGTGTTCTACTCTGCTATGTACAAGATTTAACAGCATTCTTTGCTTTGAACCCCTTGCTGATTTGGAGTAACAGTCTGTTAATTATAATAAAAGTGAGCTAGCAAAGGGAGTTTTCAATTAGAAGTTGCTTGCCTGATAGATTTATTTATTTTGTGTGTGCGCGCGTGCGCGTGCTTCCATAGCTTTTGAAGTCCCACACTGTCCATGCTGAAATTATCTGGACCACATGTAGATCGATATTTTTTCCGACTTGGCAAATTTCATTCGCATTTTATCCGTTTTTAGCTAGTAACTCATGAGGGTGTTCTTTACGTGATGCACAATGTCTCAGAAGAAATATAATATAGAAGAAAGAAAAGAGAAATATGTAAATGATTTGAATGAGATGTTAAAACACTCATTCACAACTCTCATATTTATATATTAAAAAGAGCACATGTTAATATTACAATAAAGGAAACTGAATAAAATCATGGCATATTCTATGCCTAGACATATGGGTAAATAAAGTCAAATCTATGATTTGTGCCTATCACATCTCAGATAATATGGTAAGTCACATCCCATGATTTGCGCCTATCATATCTCGGCTAATACTTCCCCTCAAGTTGGTGCGTGGATGTTTGAGATGCCCAACTTGGACAATGCATCCTTAAACACGGTCTTGCTAACACGTGCAAATATGATTAGCGATGCTTTTCTGTCAAATGAAGTGCCGATCAACAAATCAAAGTGTCTCCTCAGACCATAAACATTCAACAATGTCTCCTCAGACCAGAAGCAACCAACCATGTCTCCTCAGACCGTAAACAACCAACAATGTCTCCTCAGACCGTAAACAACAAACAATGTCTCCTCAGACCATTTCCTTTCATACACATGTTTAAAATATGTAGATAGAAGAATCAACAATGCCTCCTCAGACCATTCCCCTTCATACATATGTTTAAACAATGTAGATGAAAGAATAAAAAATGTCTCCTCAGACCATAAAAAAGCAACCACGTCTCTCCAGACCATAAAAAACAACCATGTCTCCTCAGACAATTTCCGAATGGGTAGTTTCAAACTTACAATGCCCTCATTGAGGTCGGACAACCCTGCCTTCTCGACACCTCCTAGATGGGGGATGTCTCCTTAGACCATTCTTGAATGGGTGGTGCCGAACTTGCAATGCCCTCATTGCAATCGGACCACCTTGGCTCTGATACCAAGAAGAAATATAATATTGAAGAAAGAAAAGAGAAATATGTAAAAGGTTTGAATGAGATGTTAAAACACTCATTCACAACTCTCATATTTATATATTAAAAAGAGCACATGTTAATATTACAATAAGGGAAACTGAATAAAATCATTGCATATTCTATGCCTAGACATATGCGTAAATAAAGTCAAATCCATGATTTGTGCCTATCATATTTCAGATAATATGGTAAGTCACATCCCATGATTTGCGCCTATCATATCTCGGTTAACAGTCATTATTTCATTTTTTAGGTGCTCAACTACAGTAGAATCCTTTCCTTCGGCACCAGCTTACTCTTCAAATTATGGATTACAGCCTGATTTACAAAAGATCCGAGTGTTAGTTGGAGCTCCATTAAGATGGCCACCAAAACATCAGATGGTGGCCGATTCGTTGTTGCCCATGTTTCCTGCTACTAACTCAAACTCTGTTGATTCCAGAAGGGAACAGAACATTTCTGCATTTCATGAAGGAGAATTCATCCGCCCTGAAGGTTTGAGTGATTTTGTAGTATTCTGCACAAGTGATTTCTCTACTGTCTCCAAGGAGGTTTATGTCAGAACCCGTAGAATTCGATTGCTTGGACTCGAGGTATTTTATGTTTAACGTCAGAATCATGACATGAGAATATGTTTGTAACTTTATAATGATTATGTGTACCAGAAGGCATGACTATTTGATTTTGTAGGGTGCTGGTAAAACTTCTCTTCTCAAGGCAATATTGGGTCATGGCCGGCTCATTGCCACTGCCGATGTTAGGAATTTTCTTCCAGACGATGTTGAAGAAGGTGTCACTGGTGGTTTGTGCTACTGTGATTCAGCTGGAGTAAATTTGCAGGTCCTCTTTATCTAATAAATATTTCCTGTTCTTACTGTATTTCTTTTCTTTTTCCTCTCTCTCTCTCTCAATGTTGGCTTGAGGGATGTCCTGATAATGTGCCTATAAAGTCACTCAATCCATCATGCCAATAATGCAGTAAATAAGTAAATGCAGTGGAAAACCTAAATGGGAAAAAAGAAAAAGAAAAATCAGTACCTAGTACAGGCAAACCAAATCCATTATGAGAGAGATATTACAACCTAGTTTAACAAGTTCTCAAACCCTAGAAAACTCCTAATTACCTCGACATAGATTGATCCACCAAGCTCTCCATGAGTCTCTCAGCACATTTTTTTGCTTGTCAACAGACCTTTTACACCACGGGAATCTTTTTCTTGAACCATTGATTCAGTTTCAGCCACTAGTTGTCTAGCCCAATCTCAGACGGATTGATTAGAGTTTTGGTGTTGAACTTATTAGAGTAATTCCACAACAGTGATGTCAACAGGCTAGGAACACATTCACCAATTTTAATCCAAAAATAATGAATGTAAAAAAATATATATACATATGTGATGTTGTGGCCCGAATTTGGTGCCGGGTTGCGTTGCGACCCGCTTACGACCTGACGACCAGTTGCATGAGCTTTGTGTGGGTAGTGGACCCTAATTAGTCTCTTGTAGCCCGATATATAAAGGCGCTTAGGGTTTGGAGTGGGGGAAGAGAGAGACTTTGAAATTCGTACAGAAACAGAGTGAGGGGCTGAATACTTGTAATCTCCGATTTTACACATAGTGAATACTTTTGCCGGATCCCAACCGTGGACGTAGGCTGTTGCCAAACCACGTATAAATCTTTGTGTGGTGTGTTTACTTTTCTGTCGTGATTCTTGGTTCTATCTTGGGTTCATTGCGTTTGTCATAACAACATATATAGATGCAGAACTCCCAGATATGCTTTCTTTATATGCTCTATCAGTATATGTAATCGTCCCTAGAGTAGTACTAGTGTTTATATGGAGAAATTAGAAGTATAGAGAGAATAGGTGTTTCAGTGTTTTAAATTGAATAGGAAATTGGATTCTCAAATAGATCAATCTATCTAGGAACTGGTCAAACAAACTAGATCCAGAAAACTTCGATTGATAGCTCAATTGATCGAGCTATTCTGCAGAGTTTATACTCATTACTTATAAAACTTTAATTTGGGAAGTTTCAAAAAAATTTGGAAGTTTCCAAAACACTTATTTGCATATTAGAAGGAATTTTGAGAATCAAATGAATCAAATTCATCAAATCTTAGAAACCCTAATATATGCATCCATGAACTCTAATATGGTGAGTGCATCCAAGTGTCAAATTACATTTTACCTTTGGTGGAGAATGTTATGATTTTACCCCTGTACGTAGCTTCAATTCCATCTTCAATCACGAGTGAGGGGTAACAACACTCTTGAAATTTCCAACTAACTACAAATAAAAAAAGTTTACAAACTCTAGCTTTGATTTACAAAATTTGTGAACATAGTCCTATTGACCCAACAATAATTATTTTATTATTTTATTTATTTGATATTTTTAGCATTTCACCAAGTTAACTTTGGTTGAAATTTGTCAAAAGCTATCTGTAACACCCTGCCTCGGAAGGTTATGCCACGCAAACGCGACGCAAGCGCACAACAGAGAGGATTTACATTGACATCGATGGTCTGCATGGCAAGGATTTGGATTAGTGACACTAGTATAGATCCTAGCCATTCATTGGAAGGCCTTGAGCCTATAAATAGGGGTGGGGGCTCATTTGCTCTACACCAAGCAACAAAGCCTTGTAAAACATTCTCCAAGTAATACAAGCTTTCCATATCCACCCAGACTCTCTTCTTCACTTGAGTACGTGTCTTCCTTCCCTTCTCTAGCTTTAGTGTTTTCAAAGCTAGGTAGGTAGGAATGTACCAATAAAAAGCTAGTTAGATAGGCTAATTTAGCACTTCAAAGGCGCTTGAAAGTGTCTAAGTGTTGCACGAGCGCTTGGGAAGCACCAAGGCCATGACAGTTGGTATCAGAGCCAAGATTGCGAGGCGTTACAATAGAAGTTGTGAAGGAGACTATGGCGGATTCTAGCGTGACTCACATTGAGGAGCAAGAGCATGGTAGGGAGGAGTAATGCCCACCAGTGAGCTCTAAGATAAGGGCCAAGTCGAAGGACATTGTGGTGGGCTTAGAGGCAGGGTTGCCCGTGTTGCCTTGGTCAAGTTTGACTTGTAGCTATAGGAAGCTCACCAGCGCATTGACGGGCTCAAGTTGGAGGACGCTAAGTTACACGATGTTGTGAAGGGGTTCTTGAATGCCTTAGATGGAGAATTTTAGTGGGAGATCCTTGTTCTTCGAGACCACTTGTTGGGGAGCTTGCTACTCTCCACGTTCGTGTTGATAAGGAACTTAGCACCATCAACAAGTAAGTTGAGGAGGTGTGTTCCGCTTGGGCGCCATTCAAATGTGCGGTTATGTCAGGCACGGTTGTTCCAAGGTAGGCACCACCATAAGTTGATGTCCCCAAGCCCAAGAGCTATGCATGAACAAAGAATGCTAGGAGAACTTCCTATGAGGGCATTTAGCAATACTTCGAGGCAAAGGGGATGTTGGAAGACTCCTCAAAAATATGCATGGTGACCATCTACCTCATTGACACCCCTGTAAGTAGGGGTGGGAGCTCATTTTCTCCACACCAAGCAACAAAGCCATTAAAAACAATCTCTAAGAAATACAAGCTTTCCACATTCACCCAAACACTTTCAAGTACCCTTAAAGTTCTAAGTAAGCCTCCCTACCTATCTGTGCCAACACTAAAGCTAGAGAAGGAAAGCAAGACAAGTACTCAAGTGAACAAGAATATTAAGACCTTTTAAAACAAATCACTCTACATCTACCACTCTTCAAGTCCTCTATCTAGCGGCTTAAAGAGGGAGGAGGGGTGTGGTTTCTGCAGCTTTTTATTTCCAATTCCGAACTGCCTTACTGAACTTGTATCCCCAAAAATTTCTCCCTCTGAAATATTGGCACAGAATCTTATGAAGACCGGAACTCTCTGTTTGGAACTTCTCTGATTTTGTTGTAGGTGCCTTCTTTTTGTGGTGTTCATATACCTTTGGTTAACTTATACTTTTTACTTTACTGTACATGTCTTACTTGGTCCTTATTGCTAATTCAAAGTAATATGTTCCCTATATATTATGTAGTATGAATTGATTAGAGTATTATAGCATTTTTGGAGACTAAATGTTATGATCTATGGTACGGCAACAGATAACAGTGAACGCCTCTGGCATCATCCTATTTCTAAAATTCCTTATTAACTTTTACTTTCTCCCTACCTTTAAGTGACCTTAATTATATATTTCACAGATGCCTGGTATTGGTCTGCATCCACTTCTGGGAAGGCCCAAATTTTATAGGCATTCAGCGATGGTTTTCATCAGTAGAAGTGTTCAAAACTGAGGTGCTAATCTTTAATGTTGAAATTTACTTTTAACAGTGTTGACATATGGTGTCAGATGAGTAGGTGTGGAGAATGAAGCATGCTTAATTACTTATTTGCGAGTAGGAAGGATAAAGTGAATTAAAGGAAGCACGTATAACACTTCTGCTTTTATATCCTATAGTTGCTTGGATGGAATAAAAAGTTCATTACATGCACTTGAGTTGCTTCTATTGTCCGCTCTGCATGATGGTTTACATTGAGTTATTTCTGGATTTGATGTTTTTCTTCTTGTTCATTCTTTTAATGCAGGATCTGAATACAGAGGCCACTCGTTTCAGGAATGAACTGTGGATGGGTATTCGTGATCTTAGTAGAAAAACAGATTTGATTGTTCTTGTGCATAATTTGTCCCACAAAATACCTCGATATAATCACTCAAATGTGTCAAAGCAGCAGCCGGCCCTCTTGCTTCTGTTAGATGAGGCTAAAGCACTTGGAATCCCTTGGGTCCTTGCCATAACAAACAAATTTTCTGTTAGTGCAGACCAGCAAAGATCAGCGATTAATGCTGTCCTGCAGGCATATGAAGCATCTCCAAGCATAACTGAGGTTATCAATTCCTGCCCATATGTTATGCCCAGTGCTTCAAGTTTTCTGTCTTGGGGTGACAAGGATAGAGATTCTGATGGGAAGATGGACCCTCGGAAGCTTATATCTGTTCCTATAAATCTTGTTCGGATGCCTTTCCAGAAAAAAGCCTCCATTCTCCCTGTAGAGGGTGTAAATGCTTTTCGTCAGGTTGTTCATCATGTGCTTCGCAGCCACGAGGAGGCTTCTTTGCAGGTACAAACTCCTTCTCCCTTTTTGTGTTGGGATATTCAGGTAGAAATATTTAGGGAAAATGACTACCAAGTCCTACTTTTCTCATTGAAAGACAAATAAGTCCTAAATTTTTTCTTAGGACCAAAAGTTCTACTTCTGAGATTTTTTTCCATTTAAGTCCTAAGTCACTCCATCTTCCATTTATACCCTTACTAAATAGAAATAAAATTTTTGTAATTGTGAATTTATTCAAGAATTGATATATTATCTATTTTTTAAAATATTCCTTTAAGTTTTAGTTAATAATATTGCATTATGAGTTTAAATAATAATTAATCTAATTTAAATTCAGTTCAGAAAATCTTGTGTAGAATACAAAATTTTAGTTAAAAAATAATTTTTCTATAAAAAATTAATTAAACATATTTTTCTTTTTATTCAAATTTTATGTCTAATTTTGTAAGGGTATATATGAAAGTTTGGGTCTAAATTTTATATCTAATGTAGGAAGAGTATATATAAATTAGGACTTAAATGGAAAAAAATCTCAAACGTAGGACTTATTGGTCCCAAAGAAAATTTTTTATGACTTATTTGTCTTTCAGTGATAAAAGTAGGACTTGGTGGTAATTTTTCCAAATTTATTAGATAAATTAGATTAAGGAGGAGGAGAAGAAGACATGTATCAAGGCAAGTATAAGTGAGCCAGTATGCATTGCAAATAAAAATGGTTGGAGGGTAGGTGAGAAGTGCATTTTTACCTTTCTATCCCTTCCAACATATTTCTTTGGCATATCTTTGTGATATGTGAACATTGAGAGGGGTGCATGGACACGAATGCGAGGAACTTGAAAATTGCTCCATATGGGTTTTTACCGTACTGAATATTTTTAATCAAATGTATTTGGTACCTTGTGTATGTAGAAGAAATATATAGCAAAATGTTAAACAAAAAACTTTGAAACATGAATGAACGATTTACTTCCTATCAATTTTATAGAAGGAAGTACGACATGAATTTTCCTTCACACGCTGTTGAAGTAAATGAGGAAAAATTCGTGTCCCAAACATTTTCTCTATGTTTCTGAGACTTGGGTAGGTGTGTTGGGTGCGGGTGAGTGTCGAAGTGTTGGACCTCCTCAAATTCCAAATCTTAAGATATTCAGATATGTGTAAAGTTGGATACGGGTACATAGACACATTTAACGGTTGTAAATACATAATATCTTTTAACATAGTGTAATTTTAATATTGTTATTTTATAAGAATATGCTTAATTATTACTCAAACTAAAGAAAAGGGTTTCCACCTATCTTATTGATAGTAGACTTATCTTTGTTATTAAATTCGAGTTTCTTTTTGTTCTTCTTCTTCAATCATGCCATGTGAAGGATCGGGTGTCTGATTTTAGTGTGTTAGACAGATAGCCTATACACATGGGAATTTGATTTCAAAAGGAAAATCACTTGTTTGGAACCATGGGATTTAAAAAGGGAATGGGATTTGAAGTGATTCCAAATGAAATATTGTAAGGTTGAGAAATCCTTAGAAAATTGAGAGGATTTGGAAACTAATTACTTATCTCTTACATAAGTTTTTTAACTTACCAAAATTACCCTTCAACAAACCTTTTTCGAGTCTCTCATTCTACAAAACGCTTTCCACTTCTCTTAGCCTAAAATGGTACAAAATTTATTTCCTTTCAAATTCCTTTTTACAAATTCAAGTTTATTCCAAATGTACAAATGGAATTCCATTTTAATTACAATCCAATTCCTTTTCCAAATCCAATTTCAAATCCCAAAAGAATTTGGTTCCAAAAACGTAGTTGTGTTATATGTTGATTTTTTTCTCTCTGTCTACCCCTTTATGGAAGCCTTCATTCACTTGTTTTATGTCCTTTCATGTTCATCAGATCAAGTGCAACAAACTTAGGCGGTTCAGAAATCACAGCAGTTGACGGTGATGAATTAGAATTGGGAGTTGATAATGTAAATTTTTTTGATCGGGTGGTTGAATTTGTGGGGGAGGTGATGTGTGTGTCTGTGTGTGTTTGTGAGAGAGAGAAGCTCGAATTGATGACAATAGTTGGGGGTGACCAGTGTTACATTATTAAAAGAAAGGTAATGGTTTGGGGCGTTTTTATATCAAAGGAGATTGCAACCTTGGGAATTATCAAGATTAGTTCAGAATGTCTCAATTGTCAATTTGGACGTTCAGCACCGTGTTTTATACTTAGTGATGAAGTTGCTTAAATTTCAGTTTTTATTTATTTATTTATTTTTTAAAAATTGCAAAAATTGTCACTATTGTCGTATCTGCCAGTCTTAGATTTGCTCATTATCTGTAATTTGCTGGTTCTCTTGAGAAATCCTACTGGGTGCTGTATCAGTTTATCTATAATTTAATTATACATTGAACTTCCATATATTGTCATCTCTCATTTTCTTATATTTGTTTGATAGAAAAGTAAAAAATAAAAATAAAAATAAACAAATAATAAAGGAAGGCTTGGCCAACTAGTTGGTGTAATGGTATAATGCCTGGTTGGCCAAGCATGAAACACAAGATCGAGACTAAGAGCAACCACTTGGTTAAGTTTGTATCCAGTATAATGATTTATATTTTTTTTTTTTCTTTTTTACTCTACTTTAATATGCTTGGGGACAAAAACTGAAGTAAACTTGCTTTCTTTTTATTTTACTTTGTTTCAAAGGAACTTGCTAGAGATAGGCTTTTGACGGAATTGGCGCGAGAACACGCAGTAACTGCAGCAGATGCAAATCGAGATTCTCAAGCCAAGGCAACCTCTTTGTCTGCTGCAGCTGTGGGTGCTTCCCTTGGTGCTGGTCTTGGCATTGTCTTGGCTGTTGTCATGGGTGCGGCATCTGCCTTAAGGAAACCATAAGAACCTCACAGTTTTGGTCACATCTTGTCGGCTGCATATGTTCCAGGTGTATATGAGTTAGGTAAAAAAGTATATATCATTGTTATGTTATTTTATATAGATATATATGTTATTAAATTAAATTATTTTAATCAGTAGCAGATGACCTTCTGTTTTTTAATTTTATTAATGGGAAAAATTTTCCGGGCAAATGAACATTGGTCTTCTTTTAGAACCTTCTAAATTTTATTTGAAGATGCAGTTTTCTGAAGATAGGAATTTCAGAGGGAAATAAAATAAATGTGATGCGTATAGTCTCTTATGGACAGTTTGGTGAAGTCCCTAAAGGAAGTTCCTTCGTGTTTACCTAAGTTTGGATTTGTCCGAGTGTGGAAGATAATTTAATATTGCAAATGGTTTTATTCAGCAACTGGAAAACAGAAAAGTTACATCTATGCTATGTTTGGTGTAGGATTTGTTTTTTGGAGAGAGAAAGAATAGGTAGAAGGTTGAGACCATCATATACTTCTGCCTTAAAGTGGGCGGAAGCCGGGAGGGAAGCATCTTTGCCCCTCCTCTTGCATTTTTGCCCTTGTACATAAACATCTTCTTTAACCATTCAATGGTATAACAGTTAAATTATGCATTACCCATTTCCTTCCCACCCAACTAAACAAAATGAATAAAGGTCCTTCCTTTTCCTTGGATACCTCATCCATCCTTCTTTCTTCCCTTTCCTTCCTTTCAATTTACGTCACACCAATTGTTGTGAGCACAATACCTATATATTTTATTTTCTATTAATTTATGAATTTTGAAGGAAAATCACATGCAATGAAGTAGAAAACACTGTCCATATCTGAGAAGAAAGCATGAAGGAAACAAATCAGGCCCAAGCCGAATCCAAATCCAAATCCAGAATTACCTTTAAAAAGTAAATGGGTGTTTTAAGACGATTGTTTCTCACATGACTAAAAGTTGATAATTCCTGCATGAGTGCATGTATGGTGGAAATGATTCTATGCATGTTTTCCATTCAATGTTTCTTTGCTCTGTGTTTTTGGGGTTTTTTTTACTGCCAGTGTTCCTCCTTGTACTTCGTAAAATTATACTAAGAGCCTTTGTTTCATGACACTATCAGAGATCTCTCCTCGGTTAACTCTTAATAAGTCTACTAAATATTTCTTCAACTATTGTATGTTAGTTTCTTTTGAACTACCAGAAGCACCTCCCTCAGTGAACACAATCTCTTCATGCTGCTCTGCCTTAAAATAGCCGTCACTACATTATGGTCTCTTTGCACTTACCAACACCGTCAATTTATGATGCCATTGCTAGTGGTCTAAATTTTAAAACAAACATTATTGTCACTGTTGCATTTCCATTTCCGAATTTGGTCCCATTTCTTTTAGAATGAGCATCCACGCCACCCCCATTCTTTTCTCATCTTTGTTCTGCCAGATAATCCTCTTTCTTAGTGGCTTTAGATGTACATGCCTTACAGGAAAAAATTAGTTGGTAGAATGAGGTGAGACGGGATTTTGCATAATTTTACAACAATCCAGCTGTGTTTAGGTTGCCTCGTGCAGTCATTCAGCCCTAAACTTGCCTTTGGATAGGTGACGAGGGAGAACTCAGTGAAATATTATGTTAGTCAGTAACTGAATAGGCGATAATTTTCGTTTTGGTGAAAAACTGACAGATTGAAGTTTCGTCAAGAATAAATTTATTCATATTATGGCCCTGAAACTGGGGACAATATGTGCTTTTGTTATAGACCTCTGGATGTTTTAATAGTCTTAGTTCTTCTTCTATGGGTCCGAGACTGACCTTGCTTTAAGACTAGACTTGTGCAAGTCCTTATCTTGACTATATTCTTGAAGCAATGATGCTTCATGCTAATGTTGTCCTCATTTCTAGCATCAGGAAAACTCTCACTTGGAACTAGATTGTTAAGATGGCGTGCTCTCAACTAATTTTATTTTATTTATTATTTTATTTTTTCTCATCCTCTTAGCGCAATGGCTAGATCATGAAAGCCGTAAAACTGATGGTTACTACTCTTAAACACTTTGACGCATAGCAGAGAGAGAGGCACTTAGATGTTGTGGAATCATATTAAATATTTGATGATAAATTCCGTAACTTGCTATGTATCTTGCTTAAAACCGATCCTTGTTTTACTGCATTGTCTAACCAAATCCAGTTCACCACAGTGCTGTTTTGGTGCAACATTGACAAAGAATGTGAAACAAATAAATTGTCTGGACTTTTGAACTCTTTCAGGTGCGGTCACGAAGGTCGTACTTTATTTAGAGCATACACAGGTAAATGAATGCCTCAAGGCTTATGCTTTTGGTTGTGTGTTTCGGTTCATCTATTGTTACACTTGGTAGAATAAAGGGCAGAATTCTTGTGCTTCTGCGAAAAATCATTGAACTAGGGTTGTGCTTTGAGTTGGAAAAATCGCTTTCAAACTTGCATTATTGAACGGTTGAGCTCACAGAGTCGAGTCAGTCATGGTTATGCTTAATAGAACTTAAGTTTTACATATCAAATGATGCACAAATTTCCTAAAAATTTTCATTCTAATTTGAACTTGTTGAATGTTGTGTATACAAAGTATATGTCAGTTTTGCATTCAGTGCCACAAACATCATCTCAAGGCACAAAATAAGCTTCTTGTGTATGCAACTAAAATATGTTATAGACTGGTATTTTCATCCTCTAGACAGGGAGTTTGACACAGCTCTCTTTCACCATGAAGCGAAATCTTTGCCGAAAACTTGATTAATTGTTCACTTTGCTGCAACTTCTGGGGAAAGGAATAACATCTCTGACATCGGTGAGACCAGTCGCATAGAGAACCATAACATCAAGTACAAAACTGAAACCAGAGTGTTTGACAGTTCCGTTCCTGCGAAGATCTAAGTACCATTCATACTGTTCTTTAGGCAATCTCAACTTCTGGATCCTGCAAAACATATATATAAAGAAATCGTTAGAATATGTAGGAGTTGGGTATCTGTTTCCATTAGAAAGACCGAAAATCACCATTGAAACTGAGATGGGATGGACCAAGAACAGGAAAATTAAACACATGTTGAACACTAATAAGGGACAATAAGTAAGGTGAATGAATTGGCATAGTTCCACTAAAAGGGTTATCCTACTAAATGCGACTCTTGTCATTACGGGTTTGGGGAGTGTTTTATGTACGCAACCTTATCTTTGCCTACGAAGGGGCTATTTTTCATTTCGAACCTATGACCATCAGGTCACAAAGGCCTGAATTGACATGGTTACACTAAAGATGTATATAAGGTCTTTACCTTGTGCTCAGCACATTGAAGCGTTCCTCATTTTGGCTACCTCTGATTAGGGTTCCAGCCTGCAAAAAGGAGTAGAGCTTAATGATCGATAGACATAACCAAAGGGCATTTGGCCTAGGCTCCTAGCGGTATAAATCCTCTATCCTCAAAGAAGATGGGAGGAGTTCGAGCCTGTGCGTGGGTTAAAGGGTGTGTGTGTTTGCTTTATGATTCCGGAAAAAAAAAACACATGCCCTTCACACCTCTCAAAGTTTAAGCTCACCTTTGGTGCAATCACATCAAATGCTGCAACTGTTTTCCCATCTTCATTCAGGCGCACATAGAATGGCTTAACTTCTTTTGGGTAATTGTAGACAATCACAGGCTTTTTATAGATCTCATCAGCTAAATAGCTACCATGAAAAAAATGTTGATCTACAAGTCGCAAACTCTAAGAAAATTACAGATAAAAACTGACATTATGCACTTACCTTTCGTGTTCTTCAGTCAGAGACGCACCCCATTCGAGTTTTGCTTCGAATTTTTTATCCTTAACCTGGTAAGGTAACAAAGTGGACATGTCAGTCGGAAAAATGTACCCAACGCAACATGTATCACAAGAAACTACCTGTTTTAAGACATCCACTGCTTCTGCATAGGAGACTTTTTCGAATGAACTTGATGTCATTGATTGAAGGCGATCCACAACGGTTTTGTCAATTCGTTTTGAGGCGAATAGCAGATCTTCCGAACAATCTTCTAAAACTGATTTGCACAGAAACTTCAAAAGGTCATCTGCACAGTTCATAGCATCCTGTGCAGACGACCTTTAATTTCTTAGAATCAGGAGAAGCTAAGAAAGCATTCATACTGAACAAACATAAAGCTTATACCTCTAATTGTGAGAAAGCCATTTCGAGTTCAACCATCCACATCTCTGCCACAATCTTCTTGGATTCTGATTTTCGTGCTCGAAATCTAGGTCCAAATGAGTATACATTTCCAAGAGCACACGCATAGCTCTCAAGATGAAGCCGGCCAGAAACCGTCAGATAAGTGCAACCAGAAAAGAAATTTTCAGAGTAGTCACCCTCATCAGTCTTGAGCGAAGCTCCAGGCTTCGATTTTTCTCTTGCTTCCAACTGTAACGCGAGCTCATTCGTTCTACTGAGGTCCTGAAGTGCAGCAACCAGTGCTTCCTTATTGCTCTCACTTCTCTTGAGCTCTTCAACTTGTTTCCTTTTCTCCTCAATGGAAGCCTTGACTACCTCAAGGCTAACACCTGCAGTTTCGTCCATGGCATTTCGCTCCCATTTCGTTTCTTCACCAAAAAGAGTTGTAACTTGGAACTTCTCGCTGAATCCTTCACTGTCGATGCTCGTGATAATGGGCACTTGCACATAAAGGAAACCGTGGTTTTGGAAGAAGGTATGAGTTGCTTGAGTCATGGTATTACGGATTCGCATAATACATGCCACCTGCAACATGTAAAACGCTCTAAAAATTGACAACTGTCTACTATAAAAGCTTAAATTGTTAGAGAGGAGATAACTATAATATTTAAATCCTTTAACACGTCCCCTCACGTATGTCCTTCTTTTGGTCCAACACATTTTTCAATCTAGATTACAAAAGAGTAAAGGAATCCCAAATTTTTCACAACAAAAGTAGGACAATCTAGAGATTATTACATCTATAATACAGCTTTTAGTAAATGAATCATGCCTACTACACAGAAAATTCATACCAACAGAGAGCAACAAAAGTGAAAATTACAGCAGGATAATGAAAATACCGTTGTTGTTCGAGGTCTGAAGTGAGAACAATCCCTTAACATCTCCAAAGGCAAACGTTTCTTCGATAATGGATACTTGTCCTGCTCAACTGTCCCAATGTGCGTAATTTTCTCGGCTTTGAGCTCAATAACATGTTTTCCCTGCATCAATGTCTGCTGCAATATTCCTTCTACTAATATACAAGTCCCAGTAGGAATGACTTCGTTAGGAGATTCTATAGATGAGTCCACAATAACCTAACACACACAGATTTTCAACCAATATTAGCAATATTAGGTCCAATTTGAGATAATAGGAGAGAAAATCGGTTAAGATGGTTTAAACATGTGCAAAAAAGACCTTGTGCCGGTTAGTAAAAGTGGCATAGTCCACATTGAAGGCAATATCAGGAGAAGACGAAAACCAAAGTTAACGTGGATAGAGTAGTAAAGAAAGATATGATAGCATATAGATTGATCGAGGCTATAGCCTTGAATAGAGTGGAATGAAAATATAGGATTCATGTAGTCGACCTTGAGTCCCTAACCCCAATTACAATGAACAAGAAGAAAAGAGAATTTTGAGCAAATAATTAAAAGAACAAACTAGAAGTACCTGAAGACTTGCAACACATGAACCATCACTAATTTGCAAGATTGCAGTGGAGGGTGGCGGCGGCTGAGGAGTGACTGAGTCCGGTTTTTTGTGAATTGGGTAATTTCTCCCCCCCAAAACCTTCATGATTGAGCTAAAAAAAAGGGGTATTCGAGATTGAAGAACTTCCACACAATCCACATTTGTTGGCCCTCCAATCCCACCACCACTCACATCCAACGTTGCCACGGCAGGCTCTTTCCTCTCCTCCTTAGAGGACTTAACCCATCCTCCAATCACAATTCTCTCACCAACCCACCCCAACCCGCCATCGCCACGACCCATTAGGGTTTTCAAGATTACCCTCTTGGAGTAGGTCGAAAGGGTCACCGAAGATTCTACAATTGGGGTTTGTTCCGAGGCCATTTTTGGGTGAAAACCGAAGTAAATGAAGTGAAATCAGATAGAAATTGAGGAAGTGATTTGGCGGGTAAAAAGTGAGAGGGGTTTGGTTTTTTATTGGATGGGACATATATGGGGAGGTATGGCAGAAGAAGGATGCTTTTCTTGGGAAGTGATTTGGAGGATTGAAGGTGGAAGATGGAAGAAGATGGGGTGAGGAAGTTTGGGAGAGAAGGAAAAGGATTGTTTCTGACTCTTCCCATCTGCAATTTAGAGAGAGACAGAGAGAGACAGAGAGAGAGAGAGATATAGAGAGAGAGACAGAGAGAGAGAGATTGGGGTTTGGTATTCTTGAAGGTTGGCTATTCGCGGGAAGTTCACACTCAAAAAAAGGGTTTTCCAAATGGTGAAAGTTACTAGTAACAGTAATGGAAGAAAGACAACCGTAGAGAGCTATTCTATTCAATAATAATAATAATAATAATTGTAAAACCCCCTTGTAGTATTTTTATTTTTGCAACTAACTCCCTACTAATCACTAAAATTATGTCATATTAGTAGTTGCAAATGTAAATCTCTGGAATGATCTTATTCATGTTTAAATGTTTAAACTGAAAAACAAAAACAGGTTATTTAATGAAAAATTGAATAGATCGAGTTTCTTCGCCGTACCACTTGTAATGTTATTTAATACGATTTTATTTTTCGATTTTAATCTAGAAGATCTCGTATCTTTTGGAGATGGCAGTATTAGCACTGTATAAGAATTCACCTCCACCTTACTCATGTGATGTGGAAGTTACACCCATTCATATTATACTTGCCCTCCTAGATCATTACAATCATCTCCCCTAAGGGACCTAATGTCTCCGCTGACCATACTTCCTGCTGGGCTTTGGCTCTAATCCCATTTGTAATAAAGTCCCATAAATTGCTAAGGCTCTGCTTGCTCTCACCCTCTTTTTTCTTTTCAAATTGTTACGATCAGTTATGCATTAAAACACTAAACATGTGGAGCTAGTTTTCTGGGTAGTGTCGGATCTTGTTTATTCGGCTGCGGATCCGACTCTCTGGGTACCATTTGTAACAGATAGAACATTCGTTTTTTGATCTAAAAATATAATCTATTAGGTGGTACTGCATACGCTCATAACTTTCCTTATTCAGATCTGGTATAGGACAATAACCTCTATCAACTGTCCATATTAAACAAGAAAAGGCGTCGACCTCCACCAAAAACAACTCCCCTCCCCGGCAAGGCATCACATTCTTCATTGAGTTTCAGAAGGCCATGGCGATCTAGTCCCCGTAAGCTGTGTGGCAAATAGCTGAGATGGAGACATGGACGAAGCCAATGAAGGCCTACGGTGCATGTGCCCCCTTAAGTTGGCCCGCAACCTATAATATATGAGGTAATTGTTTTAATTTTTCCATATATATGAAAAAAAATTATACAATGCTCCCCTCAATTTTGTAGTTACTAAAATTATATCTTTATTTTCTCTTTTTACTCTTCAAATTCCTTAAATTTGAAAAAGTCAAAATTTCCTTCCTCAATTGAAACTTTTTAACTTTTTCCTTTTAAAGTTGTCTCATTTTTCTTTTTCTATTTATACTCTTAAAATTCTTCTTTTTAATGTGTATATTTGAATAATTTTCTTCTTCTTTGTCTTTTGAATTTATAGTTGTTATATTATATTTTATATATATATATATATATATTATTATTATTATTATTATTATTTTTTGGTAGTGTGTCCCCTCACTTAAATCCTGACTCCGTCATTGGATGGAGACAAATCAGTGTTCAAAGAGTCGCGTGTGTTTGTACCTATCTTACTTACATGGACGAGATGGATTGCAAGTTATCTTAAAAATTCACTCGTTGAAGAAGGGGATAAAGAAATGAAGAAATTGACAAGGTGTTACATAAACTGTCGTACCACCATTAGTGGAAGGGTTGAACAATCACTTCTTCCCCTGTGACCTATCATTCAATTTCAAACACATGCAGTTCCGAACTTCCGATCGGTTGATCCCCTCCCGCGTAATTCCGTGCATTGTATGTACATCACACAACAATACAATTATATCACAGTGCACTGTAGCTATATCAAAAACATGCAACGCCTAGGCCGGCTCGAGCCTTAGGTTAGTTAGGCGATTGTCTAAGGCTCCAGCCAATAAGAAGGTCCATAATTTTTTATTTCTTTATATATTATAACTTTCCTAAATACATTTATAGTATTTCCTTTAATTATTAAACTTCAGTGTATAGAGAAATTTGATGGTTGACCTAAAAAATTTCTATTCTTTATCTTTTTTGAGGACCCCCAAATTTTTTTCTTTATATATTATAACTTACCTAAATATTTTATTTTCTTATACCATTAAACCTCAACAAATACAAAATTTAATAGTCTGCAAAATATTTCTATCCTTGTATTATCTTCTTCTTCTTCTTCTTGTTTTTTTTTTTTTTTTTTTCCTCTCCTCTCTCTTCCCCCTCATTACATCAGCATATATATATATACACACACATTAAAATTAAATATTAAATATATATTTAAGTGAAAATTGATGAAACTTTCTATATTTTTCAAAGACTCCTATTAATTTTTATTTTCTCTTTTTTTCTTAATCCTCACATATTTTTTCTCCTCTCTCGTTATAAATTTTGTTTTTTCATCTTCTCCACGTTACAATTTACAATCTCACAATCTCACAATCTCATTCCTAAAGAAGATTTTGAATATACTTATATTTTATTAAAGAATTTATTAGAGCATTAGACCAAATAATTCGAAATCAGTTTTTATTATTCTATAACTTAAATTAGTTTATAGTTTTATACATTTTATTTATATGGTTAAATATGACTATTAGAAAGCGCATAACCAATTAATTGACGATGGAATTAGAGTTTGGATAGGTTTAAAAATTACTAAACAAATAATTAGCTGACATAAAAATATAGATAGATTTAATTAAAAGGCTACTTTATTTTTTTCGCCTAAGGCCTCAAATTGTATTGAGCCGCCCCTGTGCAACGCTGGTGTCCTGTACAACTTTTATAAACTTATGTAAGGCGTTCACATTGAAGATGAATGCAACATATTATAATGCATCATTGGATGAAAACGTGCCCCATACATTTTTAACCTTTTTTATTTTTATTTTATTTATTTATTTTTCCTGTGTAAGTCAATAATTTTGAACAGTCAATGTAACTTTTCCAATAATAATAACATACTATACTTGTCAAGAAAAGTTCAAAATGTATTAAGTGATAACTAAGGATTTTATTATTATTATTTTTTATATGATATGAAATGAACTCCTATTTGATTCATAATATTTTAAAAATTGACCAAAAATTATTAATTTTTTGTGTGTATATAAAAATATAATATTAGTATTTTTTATTGCCCGTATTCTATTTTTTATTTATTTATTATTATTATTATTTTTTAAGATTATCGTAACCATATTGTATCGTATTTATATTTGTACTCCCTAAATTGCAAAATTACAACAGCAATAAATTGTCAAAGTCTTCTAACCTAACTGATAAGATGCCTCCTGTTGAATTTTGGAATTCATCGCATGGGTTCAAGACTTGATACCACCAACTAAACCCCTAACATGTCAGTTTTAACACATTTATATATATAATCATTGCTTTCACAATTTAAATTTATTACATTAATCCGGTGATCCTACAAATAGTGTTACCGGTGGAGTAGTCTCCTACGAATAAGTCAGTGAGAAATAATCTCTCTGGATAAATCAAGAAATTGAATTATGATTTATTGCGTACCTCTAAATGAGGATTAGCCCCCTCTATTTATAGGGTTTAGGTCAGGATGTTACGTAAAGTTTCCGTCGTCTTAATTCTTATCATAATCTGTAGACCTAATCCTTATTCGTAATAATCATTATCTTAGTCTATAGAGGTTATATCGATATTATGAGATAGCGCGTTACTTTAATAATCTTCCCCTATTCACGGGTCTTTAAATTATACATCTATCAAGTCGTATTCATATCGTATCGTAAAATCTTTTAACCTATTTAGTAAGATGCCTCCAATTTTAACACATTTATATATATATATATAATCGTTGCTTTCACAATTTAAATTCGTTACATTCTAGTTCCATCGTAACACAATCTTCTCGTCATCACACAAAAAAAAAAAAGCCTTAGAATACAATAATTTTCAGGTGGGGATCACATAAGCAACATGTGTTCTTTTCAAATGTCAGCTCTTCAAAAATTGATGGAGGGAGGATAGATTAACCGAATCCTGAAGCATCATTTCCGAAGTGCGAATCTTTTTTTATTTTTTATTTTATCAGAATCGGTTGGTTGAAAATTGTATATTCATATTTTAAACTGTTAAATTTCTCATCTACATTGTTTCCACATTCTTCTAGGAAATGCATGGAAGTGGAAGGAAGCCCTTAAAGCTGTCTGCCGGTGGGTGAGACACATCTCTAAACCCATCCACCAGAATCCCCTTTTTAACCTTCAAAAATATCAAATTCAGCCAATGTTGATGTGTAAAAACAGCAAAAGGAGGTGGTTTTTTTTGTAATTCTATAAGCAATCTTGTATTAGTAAATCATGTGTAGGCTCAAAAAATAAAAAAAATAAAAAAAAATTCATGGGGGACCTCTTTGCTGTGTTCTTCTCATCACAGCATCTTTTGTCAGTCCATCTTTTATGGTCATTATTTGACCACAACCCTTCCTTACCCTTCTCCCTCTCTCTCTCTCTCTCTCCCTCTCTCCCCTTCCCTCTCTCTCTCTCCCCTCTTCTCTCCTTCAAAATTTTCCCAATACTAAGGGAATTAAGATGGGCAATGCCAAACAACCAAACTTACTCTTGCTTTTCTTCACCCTAATTTGTGCAGCATATGTTATGCAAGGTCATAATAGCTAGTCCTTTCCTCTATTCTACATGTTTCTAGAGTATGCTTTCTTGTTTAATGTTCTCTTTTGGGCTAATTATGAAAAAGCCCTTTTCTTTTCAGCTTAGTATTGGTGGTTTTTTTTTTTTTTTTTTTCATTATTTATTATTAATTTGTTGTTCTGGCTTTGTTAGGAAGTCATTTTTATTTAATTGGACTAGAAATTAATCTTAATTATGAAAAACCCTTTTTTTCTAATATTCATATTGTATATCAATTTGTTGTTCTAACTTGCTAGGAAGTCATTTTTATTTAATGAATACTAGAAATTCAGCTTAATATATATGCTTATATATATATATATATGTTGCACCATCTAGTAGTACTAAGTTCCATTTGGTTGCTGAGAATGCAGAGGAGAAAAGAAAGGAATTTGGAGTTCAAAATAGGCCAAACATGGTGTTTGTAGGATTCCCAATTGTCTCTTCTTTTCCATCATCTTCAATTCTTGTGACTAACTTTTTTCTTCCATATTGTTTCAGGTGTTGCAGGGTCCAAAAGTCAACTGGTAGTTCTTCATGGTCAAATTGTGTATGATTCTTCTCAATCACAAAGAGAATTACATTTGCTGGTGAGAAAAAAACAAGCCTAAAACGTTGCTCAATTTTATTTCATATTGTGTTCTAACATATTTTTGAACATCGTTTCTCACTTTTTGGGAATACATAGGGTAGTAGCAAAAAATGGATGAACAGAAACTCAAGAAGATTGATGATTGGATCGACGGCACCAACCTGCACTTACAATGAATGCAGAGGGTGCAAATACAAGTGCAGAGCCGAGCAAGTTCCGGTGGAGGGCAATGATCCTATCAACAGCCCGTATCGTTACAAATGTGTCTGCCATAGGTAAAAATTCTAGTGTTGGAACTACTAGGTTGAGCCAAGTGAATGATGGTTCAAATTTGTAAAATCTATGGAGAAGACTCACAAAGTCTTATCCTCTCTTCTGCTTCAACTCTCTATTTTTATCAGTTCACACACTAGTGTAACATCATGTTTAGACCTAGATTTAGCAATTTTTGTGTGTTCATGAATTCAGAATGCTGAAGTGCATGAATTTATTTCTTGCCAAAAAGAATCTTTACATGTTTTCTTCTACTTTTGTTTGTATTTGTTACTGTACCTTTTTAAATAGTAGTTCAGTAAGATATAAAATATTATCTTACATTTTTTTTTTTAAGTGTTTTTGATACATTTCATTTTTCTTTCAATTTGTAGGTGAATCTTGTGGTTGAACAAGTTGAGCTACTATAGGGTATATTTTTGCATATTCATGATTAGGAGAATAAACTTCATATGGAAACGTTTTTGCACATTTGGATTAGAAATCTCTCACAACAATTTCTAGTTATTTGATGAGACTTTATATTGCAAACAAGAGATTATTTTTGGGAAATGATAAATACACTCCACTTCTTTATAATGCACCCATTTTTTATTTTTGTATATATTTTTTTTAACAACTAAATGACTTAAATGTCCTTTATATTTGATTATAATGAATTGAATCAAGAATAATAATGTCATTTCACATAAAAAAAAATGAGTGCCTATAAAAAAAATGGAGTACATTTTAGATTATCTAGCTCGAAAGCACGTTTTAGAGTGGCATTAGTGATCAATTTATACAAGTTAAGACTAAAACTACATTACAGTACGGGTGTTGTACTGCATCAGACGGCTCACAATACACACATGCGATCTCACAAATGTGTGCGTGTTCTGTGAGTCATTTGATACTATATAATTATGTGTTTTACTACATCGGATCCTAACATTACAGTACGGGTGTTGTACTGCATCAGACGGCTCACAATATACACATGCGATCTCACAAACGTGTGTGTGTTATGTGAGTACGTCGTCTAATGTTGTACAGTTATGCGTTTTACTGCATCGGATTCCAACATTACAACGTCATGCATGCCCTCCTCATTTTGCAAATAGAATTATAAAAGTCTTACTACAACCATTGAACTTGAGAGAGCACCTAAAAGCATTTTTCTTTGGAAATGTGGATTGATTTTTTGTTCATTGGTAGGTTAGATGGTGGTTTTAGAGAGACAAAAATGTGGCACATGGAAGTGGTCCCAAAATATATAAAAACCAGCAATATGTCACATGGGGGTACCTTGTGAGGATACATGCTTTTGCACAAAATGGCAAAACTGAATTTAATTTATGGCAGAAGATTTGTAGCCAGTAGGGGAGGTCCCATTTTTCAGTGTACAACAAGCAAAGAGCAAGCCACTCCAAACTCATGCTCTACTGCATGGTCCTGGAAGTTTTTTGCAGTACGTCTTGCCTTTTGTAGTGTGTGTACTCTCATTACTGTAAGGAACCCTAGTACCCATAAAGCCATTTAATCCATCCATTTGTTGGTGACTTCCCCTCTCACCACTATGGTGTCACAAGCACTTTACTCCTACAAAGCATTCAATGCCCTAAATGATGGACTCCATTCTCATAACACTTCTCCTTCAGGTTCAAGGAGAATATGTCTCGTTAAAATTTTACTATAAAAAATTTAGTGGGATACAGCAATGGAAAAAGAATATAATATTTTTGTGTATCTAAAAATAATATTGCATATATAAAAAGTTTAGTGGGATACATACCTAGCGATGGAAAAATAGTATAATATTTTTGTGTATCTGAAAATGATATTGTATGTGTTGAAACGGTCTCATTACTTTGTCAGGAAAATTAGTAAAAAAATAAAAAATAAAAAAAAATAAAAAATAAAAAATAAAAAGCAAACCTTAACAAAGGAAAAAGAGTACATGACAATATTTTTAACATTAATTTTATATTTTATATTTTAACTGACTTTTAATAAGTTCAGGCCAACTAATAACGTGGTCGAAGTTAAGTCGATGAAACTTTAAGGAGGTTGATCAAGCTATTTTGCAAAACTTTGATTTGAATGTAATAAATAGAAACTTAAGATAGGTGGGGGTGATTTATCCTACGTAGTAGTAGTAGTAATAATTACTGTAGTAACTATTGTCTACAATTGGGCCTGGGATTGTTAAATGCCTCAACGCATTTTTGTTGAGGTATTTAATCCATCCATTTGTTGGTGCATTTACCCCTCTGCAATCATCTGGACTTCCCCTTCAGCACTTTTGGTGATTGTAGAGATGGCAATGGGCTCAATTTTTGGGTAATCTCACTAGTATGGGTATAATTGTCAAACTTGTTATGAATATAAAAGAAATATAGAATACAAGAGATATGCAAACCAAAGAGAGAAATAATTGTTCTCTCTTTTTCACTTTTGTCATGTTTAACGCAACATGTCACACGCATGCATATAGATATATACACACGCGCACACACGCATTTGCATCGCCATTGTTGTTTTTTCTTATTTTTTGTTCACAAATTACGTATTTTCTCTCATGACACAAACACTTTACTCCCACAAAATATTCAATGCGATAAATGTTGGATTAATGACGGACTCCAGTCCTAAGTCACATAAAGAGGGCGCGGGAGAGCGAAAGTGGTAAAAATTTAAGTTAAATGGGAGGGGACAAAAGCGAGAGCGCACGCAGAGCGGCACCTGTTTAGAAGAATTATGTGACTTAGCTTCAATCTCATAACACTCCCCTTTGAGATCCATTAAGAATATGTTTCGTTAAAACCTCATTAGGAAAATTTTACTAGGAGAAAAATTAATAAAAACAACATATATCGAAGAACAGAAAAGAGTACATGAGGGTATTTTTGACATTTATATTTTGTATTTTAACTAACTATAATAACTTCACGATCAATTAGACACGTGAGTGATCGGAGTTAAGTCATAAACTTCAGAAAATATGATCTGAGTTGAGTCAACCAAACAATATGATCTGAGTTGATCAAGTTATTTTGAAAACCTTAATCTGAATGTAATAAATAGAAACTAGGATAGTTCGGGGTAATTTATCCTAATAATAATTAGTGTAGTAACTAGTAACTATTGTCCATGATTGGGCGTGGGATTGCTAAATGCCTGATTGGCCAAATGTTGCTAGTTTAACCAAATGTTTACAGATACAAAAACCCATGGACCTAGACCATGGGTTGGTGATGGGTTGGGTTACCTTTGTATGCCCGACATTCTTAAGCATTGTTCATTGTTGTCAAGCGAATCCATGTTAAGTCACTAGTCACTACTACATTATTTAAATACAATTTTATTAAAAGTTTAACAGTTATACTCTCTCAAGAGATTTTTATTTTTTATTATTTTTTTTTATCATCTCTCTCTCAAATTATTTCAAATATTGGTAAGTAAACCAATTCTTACCCACATTGCTTAGATCTACATTAGTTTAACACTGAAATACGAATTCCTAAATTCATACCTAGAAGTTCCAAAGTGCTAATAGCACATCTTTTGAAATTTAAGCACATTGAGTGATAAAGTTCTCAATTTTTAATATTGGAGTAATAATAGAAAGTTCGAGAGTGAAAAAATCAAATTAAATTTATATGATTAAATGATGATATCATGATGAAATCATTGAATGATGTCATCACTCACATAAAGCAGTCAACACATCCAACTTTCAAAATACTTGTCACTATTCCGAATATTAACTCGTAAATTAATTTGACAATTCTATACCATTTGGATTCTCAACGGTCCAATAGCCGTTCCAATCTCACATGGCAAGCTACGTCATTTTCATAAAATTCTCTACAGCTTTCCCTCTCCCTCGGATTTTCCCTCTCTTATGGTTCATCGATTTGAGACCTTTGTTTTATACAGTCAATTTAACAAGTTCATGAACCCATGAATCTAAGTACCATCATGGCCATGGATTTCTTGAATTAACATATATTGTAATGCCTTTGAAGATATATGTAGATATAGATTCTTTCTCTCTCTTCTCTCTTTAATTTTGCAAAATCCAAATAGAAAACAAAGCATTAAAAGTTTTTGGCTTGTTGGTTCGTGGGTCGATTCTCCCTCTAGCTTTGATTATGGCTTTCTCCCTCTCTGATTTTGCACTACCTTGCACGTAGAATCCCTAATCTTCTATCTCTATTTGAACTTAAAATTAAAAGTCATAATTAGATTAGCCCTAATATGAATTAATTTTCCTCTTTTTTGGGTCGCCTAATTTTTAAATAAGGGAGATCTTCACAAGTTTTTTTTTTTTTTTTTGACTTCACTTCACTTCCTTTTTAATTAATAAAATCATATAATTGCCCAAGACATTCTACTCACAATTCTCATTGATTATTAAAAATAGAGTAATGATAAAGAGATAATAATGGACAGATCTGACTAAATTTATTAGTAGGGAAGGATATGACATCATTTTATTTAATGACCACAATGGTAATGTCATCACTTACTCATATAAATTAATCGGATACATCCAAAATGCAAACTATTTATCCTTATTCTTAAAAACATGATGGGTAATTTACAATGATATCTTCTTTTACATAACCATTCCATATGTTCAATTAAATTTAAGATAAAGTACAAAAGAAACTCCATACTATATACAAAATCTGCAAATATTCATTTGGTGGTCAATTGTTAAAAAATCCCTACATTTTTTCAAATTGAGCAAATAAGGATTATTTTTTAATTTGAAGATTGAAATATCTAAAATGCCCTTAAAAAAAAAATAAAAAAAAAAAAAATTTAAGGAAAAAAAATAAATCAGGACATTTTAAAAAAAAATTATAAAATCCCAAAATTTTTATTATTTATTTATAATTTATATTTGTTTTTATTATTTTTACTTATTAAAAAAAACCTAAAATTCCCTTAAGGGCATTTTGGAATTTTTATAAAAAATTGTTTAAAATTGATGACCAAGGGACAATTTGTTATAAAATTTCAAAACACAAGTGTTATATGCAGTTTATAAAAGCGGGAGTGTTTCTTACACTATTATTTTTTTAATTAAAGGAGGATTTTTTTTTGCACTTTATCTTTAAGAGGGGTTTTTTAGCACTTTATCTTTAAATTTATTTTTTCTCAAACTTTAATGGCGGATGTTATTGGCAAAAATTGTAGTTTAACTAATTTCTCTCACATTTAAAATAGGTTTTTAGGACAAATTGTATAAAAACCCATGAACTTTTAAAAGCCCTCTTTTTAAAAAATAAAATAAATAAAATTAGTAAAATAGTTTTAGTACTCCGTAATTATTATTGTTGCAATATACTAGCAACTACTCCTGCCCTTTTATACAGGAGGAATATCAACTTTAGTGATAAAAGATACGAAAAGGGTTCCATTTCACAGTTGAGAATTGGGGAATTTCTGAGTAACCGATGGCTTCTCTCATGGCCTCTCAAACCCTCATCCTCCGAAACCCTAACTTTCTCTCTCCTCACAAACCCACCACTCTCTCTCTTCCTTCACCTCAAAAACACCTCCTCCGTCTAACCCCCTCAAAACCCACAACCCCTCTCTACAGTCTCAGGTCTCCCACTCTCAAAAGATCTAGGGTTTTCGCATCCTCATCTTCCTCCACAATACCCAACAACCCATCAATTGATTCGTCAAACAACCCGAATCACTCGCTGCTCACCGAGTCAACTCGCACAATCTCAACCATATTCGCGATAGGTCTATCAATTCTGAGGCTGACCACCTCCAAAATATGCAATTTCACACTCAAATTGAAGGGGATTTGCACAACCCCCAGTCCCGACGAGCTCGCCACGATTCAGACCATTCAGGAGAGCTTGGTATGCACAGTTGGGCCACTGTTCTTCGCGGCTCTGAAGGACCGTCCCAGTGGGTACCTGAACACGCCGTTGACGGTGGTGGCCTCCGGCATGTCGAAGTGGCTCGATATATACAGTGGTGTTTTGATGGTTAGGGTTTTGCTCAGTTGGTTCCCAAACATTCCTTGGGATCGTCAGCCTTTGTCTGCAATTCGGGACCTGTGTGACCCATACTTGAATCTCTTCAGGAATATCATTCCTCCAATTTTCGATACTTTGGATGTTAGTCCGCTTTTGGCTTTCGCTGTGTTGGGTACTCTCGGTTCGATTCTCAATAACAGCAGAGGAGGATATTGAAGAAGAATGGGATTCATGGTGAGGTTGCTAACTCATTGTTAGTTATTTTGGAGTAAAGATATAAAGTTTCAATCTAAGTTTTGGTTCTTTTGTTCTAGTATTTTCTGTGTTAGGGGGCTTTGTTGGTCACTCGTGTGATATTGTTGTAGTGAATTTTGTTTTATCTTATAAAATTTGCTACTTCCAAATATTATTAGATTGATTGTATTACAGTATTGCATGTTATATCTGGTGATTCATAGAATCATAGCTTTGACTGTCAAATTTGAACCAAAACTTCCTGTAATTTTGAGAAGTTGCATAAGCGGAATGAATTACTTTTGGTGTTATTAATTTTATTTTTTATATGCACCGAGTAGGTAAAGTACTGATTGAGACAGAATAGTTTTCAGAAATATATGATTTGTCAATTACTATATCTGTATAAATCTTCAAATAGTTTGGTTTCTTATGTTTGAAAATCTATATTGGGTCTCTGATTTTTTTGACTATGTAATTGTCACAATTCATTACCCACTGAATGCCATATTGTGACATGACAACATAGGGATGAAACATTAAAATTGGATGATTATTGTACTATACTTGGTATTCTCCATATTTATCATTGTTGTTACTGGTATCTTCGTTTTTTACATTAAGCAACTTAAGTTAGTTGAGAGATAAGTTGACTTTCCTTTGTTCAAAACTAACCTTCCTATATTGAAATCATCATGCATGTTTCTACTGACAGTTAGCATCTATAAATATACTCTCATCTAGCCATCATTATGAAATCATCTTTGATTCTTTCATTCATAACATTTGAGAAGTTGTAATTTTCATACAACTCGGTGCAACATTACACATCTAAACAAGCATACACAACTCAGAAGGCTTTAATATACCTTCATGTTAGCTTAACCACTTTTTATTCTTCTTTTACTTATTAAAAACTTGAGCTTTGTTAGTTCCAAAAGTTTAGTCTTATTGCACGAGTTTTTTGACCTTCAAGAATGGATACTTGTATGAATATCTTGTAGACTTGTTCTATGTAACTTCTTTTTGCAACTTTTTGTTTGATGTTGAAGAATTTGATAAATCACTCAATTGTTCTTGTCATATTTGAGGTAATGCAAGGTGCATGTGTTTGAACAATAGGAGTCATAAATCCATAATGTATGAGGGTTAGGAGGGTTAGGGCTGCAACTTGGGCGGGCTAACCCAGCCCAACCCCAACCCAGAAAATTTGAAATTTGGGCTTAAAATTCACAAATCGGGCTCATGTTCGGGTTGGGTTTTGTCAAAACCTAGACATGTTCGGGTTGGGTTTGGGCTCAACACGAATCCAAAACCCAAAATTATAAAAAAAAAAAATAATTAATTTTTTTTTTTTATTTTTTTCTCCTCTCTCTCTCCTCTCTCTTCTTTCTCTTTCTCTCTCTTCTTTCTCTCTCTCTCTCTCTCTCTCTGCCGCCGCCGCCGCCCCTCTGCTACCGCTGCCGCTGTTGATCCACTGCCTCCGCTATCCCTCCGCCTCTGCCGCCACCACTGCCGCCGTCACTTCCCAAAATTAAAACAAAACCCATACATACAAGTTAGCAGTTGTAGAGAGAGAGAGAAAAGGGTAGGGGGGGGGGGGGGGGGAAGCTTGAGAGTTGAGAGACAGTGGCTGAAGCTTGCGAATGGCGAACCGGAACTGGAACAGCGGGCGATGGTAACTGAAAGATATGGGTTTTGATTTTTTGAACAATCTGGAATGATATGCCGATATGGGTTTTGATATAGGTAATAGGTTCTGAACTTTTGATTCTTGCAGACAGATAGATAAACTGAAATATATGGGTTTTGAACTTCTGATTCTTGTAGATTTTGTAGTTTGCAGTTGTAGTGAGAGAGAGAGAGGGCAAGTTCAGAGTCGAGAACTTGAATATAGATGGAGGCTGAAAGGATTTGCCCTAAAAATATTTTATTTTTTAATAATAATAATATAATCAAATATATAATATATATAAAATTTCGAAAAAAAACTATTTTTTTTTTTAATGCAGAGAGAGAGAGAGGGCAAGTTTAGAGTCGAGAACGATAATAGAAATGGAGGCGATTGGGGAGGCTGAAATGATTTGCCCTAAAAATATATATTTTTTAATAATAATATAATCAAATATATATAATATATATAAATTTCCCCGCCCGGGGGGGGGGGGGGGACTTTGTTTTTTTTAAAAATGAAAAGCTCAACCTTTTCAACCCGACCCGACCTGCCCGAAAATATTTGGTCCAGGTTATGACCATAATTCATGTTGACTACAATTCGGACTGGTTCAACCCAACCCGATTTGGGTTGAGGTTGGGTTGGGACTGGGCTGGGCTGGGTTGGGCCAGCCCAAATTGCAGCCCTATTGAGGGTTGGGACCTATCATAGTGATCGAGTCAAACAAAACGTAGTGCTTGTTTCTTTTTCCTCTGAGAAGAAAATAATGTATTGCTTGTTATATTAATGGTAATCAAGTTAATAGAACATGTGCTATTAGATGCTTCCATTTTTATTGGAGTTTTTGACAAACAAACACAGTTGCTTTCATATATGAAGAATAATCATGAGCACGAGATTATCTACCTTTCTTTTCATTACACAGTTGTTTTCCTTTTTGGCCTTTTAAACTTTTATGTCACCAAGGTCAATATTTTGTAACCTTGTTGCCTTCATCCATTGGTATCATCTCACCGCATGCATGTTTGCTTGGATATATGTATCTTGGGACCCTAAACTCTCATGTTGCTTTTATACGTGCTTGCCTCAATACCATGTTGGGTTGGTAAATGCTTGTGTCTGTACCATGTTACCTAATTGATGGTTGGTCCAATGCATGAACTATAAGTTGATTTGATATCTGGTGGTCATAATGCACGGTGTTTGCAAAAAATTATGCAACTATATTGCCTTAGTATATGGCATGGTGGGAAATTTAGTGAACAACTTTACTTGGACTCATGCCTTGTTACTGTGTTTCCTTAGTTGATGGTTGTAGGAATGGCAACGGGGCGGGTTTGGAGCGGGTTTCCCTAAATCCCACCCCGCCCCTTTCAATTTTTGTCAAGTCCATGCCCGCCCTGAGACCCACGACGAGTTGGATTTTTATGCCCAGCCTCGCCCCGTTGGAAAATACTGTGCCCCCGTGCCCGCCCTGCTAATAAATTTTTTTTTCCCACTTTTTGGAACTTAAGCTCCTGCTATTTAAATGTGGAAAGCCTGGGAACGGCACAACATAAATGAAATTATATATCCCAACAAAAAAAAAAAAAAATAACATGCACATAACATAATTCAGAGAACATAATAAACAAAAATAAAAGTTTAATATAACCAAATCACAAGAAGTTCTAAGTTCTGACTTCCACCATAAGTAAAACAAAAGCAAATTTAATACCAAGTTTACATCCCAAATTAGGATTGTAAGAGATGGATAACAGGGTAAGCAAGTAAAATAAGTTATTAATATATATATATATATATATATATATATATATATATATATAATATAATTATATGCTTAGCGGGGCAGGGCGGGGTGCCGCGGATATGTATACTGAACCCTTACCCGCCTCGTGACCCGCGACAGGTACACAATTTGTATCCATGCCCGCCCTAATGGTATAAAAAGTGTTCATATATTCGTTATTAACGGGGCGAGATGGGGCAGGGCCCCGGCCCCGGCGGGGCGGTAAATATTGACATCCCTAGATGGTTGCCTCAAAATCATATATTTTTGACACATTCTACTTGATTAATTGTTAGCAAATTAGAAGGTTACCTCGATTACTAGTTGTAACTTGTATCCTTATGTGGAAAATCTCATGTTGCCTTGATATGTGATTACCTAGGTGTCATGCTACCTTAAATTATGTTGCTTTGATCTATAGAAATCTAAGAAGTGCGGAAACGGTTACGGGACACGGACACGACATGACACGGACACGGCAACACAGTAAATCCTAAAAAATTAGGACATGGATATGGCAAATAATAAATATATATTATATATATCATGTTATACTTTAAGAAATTAAGAGTAATATTATCTTTTATCAAACTACTAATGAAATTTTTTTTTGTGTGTTTTGCTGGGTAAAAGAAGGAAAGAAAGAAAGAAAGAAAGAAAGAGGATTAGGGTGTAGTTAGAAAAAGAATTAGGGGTTTTTCGTCATTGTTCATTTCCCCTTAAACGTCATCCCCATTTGTTTCCTCATCTAGCAATCAAACAGAAGTAGGCACATTAAATGGAAAGCATTAACCCAGTCATTTCTTATAGTAATTTCAGTTCAAAATTTCATACAAATAATAAAAATACATTTGACTACTATTCGGAAAATAAAACTGAAGGTCTATATCATATTTCTAATTAGAATTTTATGAACTATGTATTTACCTCTGGGCCGTTCCCACATGAAAATAATTTTGTCTCGTCTGCTGCTCTGCAAATAATGATCACCAAAGAAACTTGTCACTGGCTTTCTTGTGCATCCAGATTTGGTCCAAAATTGGGGACAAGAAAGCTAGTGACAAGTTTCTTTGATGAACCATAAAATAACGGTTCAATGTTTTTGGAGCCGTGACCAGACCAAACCATATAAAAATTGAACTGAGCCGCTATATATATTTATATATTATATAATACACACACACACACTAAACCTTAACTTCGGTAGTTCACACACACACACACACACACACACACACACACACACATTAAAATAAGTTACTAACCTTAACTTCGGTAGTTTAGTTAACATTTCATAAAATCCTGATGCCCCACCGCTGGCCTCCTCCTCTCCTCTTCTCTCTATTTGGTTATCAGTTAACTCGCCACTCTCTGCCACCATCGATCGTCTCTAGACCTTCACTGCCTTTGTTTCTATTACACATTCACTATCTCTATTCTCCAGCAACCAGATCGTATGGTGACATTCACACACCACCAACAGCAACGGTGGAACCACTCTCATCTTCTCAATATTGTACAATGGATTCACCATCATTTTCAGTTTCGGTAATATTCAAGACTTGAATTTTAAGATTGCTGTTATGGGTATTGTTATATTTTTTATATGCTTTATTTATTATTTTTTTTTCTTTCATTTTTTGATAAGTTTTAATAGCATTTTCTGTGAATAATGTGATATGTTTTTCTTCTGTTATATGATTTGAAAGGCTTGAAAATGCAGCTCTTCTTCTTCTGTAGATATTCTTTTCAAGGCTAGAACCGTGGAACTAAAGCAAACTGGTCCCTCACAGTTCGGTTAGGTTCAGTTATATTGGTTTTCACGGTCTGGTTTGATTCCAATTTTTTGTGGAACCGTTGAGACCGGTTTGGTTCCAAAATATTTCCAAACCGATCCAATTTGAATCGTCTGCACCTCTAATCATTTATTAATCCAGAAATATGATTTCGAATAAGAGATACTTTGATAGTTCTTGTTTGAGTTAGTTACATTTAACCCTCAAGGCCAAGCAATAACAAGAAGGCCATGGGATCTATTTGTAATTACGTAGCATATGAATATGTTGGTTGGTTACGTACCATATGAATATTTAGGTTTAATGTTTATATTTTTGGCATTTTAGTTAGGTATGATGTTCTTCCAAGGCTGTCCAGATATTCCATGTTGGATATTGAAGGATTACAGGATTAGTATTAGTTGAAAATGGTGATTGATTTCTGAATTTGCATGAAAAGTTTAAAGTTGAAGATGTCATTCATCATATTATTTGTTCGGTCTCTCTCTCTCTCTCTCACTATATATCCACACGAACACACAGGCACCTCAAGGTTTTTTCTCAGGCAAGGGTAAGAATCTGTCTGATTGGTTGGAATCGGACAATATACGAGTGCCATTGAAATGTGTGAACAGCGCTAGTATACTGTCATCCCTTGGAGACTTGATTTCCAGAAGAGTAAGATTTGAACTTTGTTTCCTGTGATAGTGCAAATTCACTTGTATGGACCATTCTAATCCAACCGTGAATCTTGTAAAAGATTCCAAATCAAGAAGGTCCTGAATGAACAATTCAAAACCATTTTATTTCATTCTTCTAGTAAGATTCCAAACTTGTAGCTATGTAAAATACAAGCTTTAGAGGATAGGTTTTTTTGAAAAACTTGAAACTCGCTTGCTCCATTCATTTTCTGAAAACATTTCTCAATAAAAGACAATTCTTGTAAAATAGACTTATTTTTATAACTGTGTTTTCATAAAATAATCTTTTGAAAAAATTGAACCTAAAATTTAACTAAGCAGAGTTCTAAGGCATGCTTGGTTTACCACTCAGAAAATACCAATTTCTAAGTAGGGTTTTGTAGAGTTTAGAAAATAGAAAACTGGATTGGGTTTTTTAATAAGAAAAATTGTTATCGAGAACTCCTAAAATAGAAAATTTAGGACTTATTTTGTTTGTAATACTGAAAACAGTTCTCAAGAATTTTGAAAACTATTTTTGAGAATAATATTGTATAATTATCTGAAAGTAGATATTTTATAACAGAGTTTTTAGAAAGCAGTTTTCCTGTACAGTTTTTTGAGAACAGAAAATTATCTTCGTAGTTACAAACTAAACAAATTATAAAGAAAAAGTCAATTTTTTCAAAACTGGTCTTCCTAGAATTGAGTTTTACAGAGTTTTTGTATCATTAAATGGTTTTCATTTAATTAAAAATGGAAAATTATTTTTTGGGTGAGACTTGTAGTAACCATGTGGATGGGATATTCTTCTTCTTTTTCTAATAAACAAATTGAAGTAAAATAAAAGTAAGGGAAATATTCTCATTTTTTTTAAAGGTTACATGCAATGCCGGAAAGAATTCAATTAAACAAATTTATTTCTCTCTTTCTTTGATCACAGTCAAAAAGGAAATGGGACGTGAATGTGTTTATTGGACAATTGCAAAAGATAAATTAGTTCTGATTTTAGTTTCTTTTTACTAAGAAACACTAGTTTATTGATTTTAAGGTAAATTACTTGAAATTGTCATAATTATATCAAACCCTCTTTTAATTTGAAAAATTATACAAACTTTGCATGTCATTGCTAAAAAAAATCAAGTTAATTTCATCAATGAAGTAAACAATTTTATATTTTACTCCAAAATTTAGATTTTTAATCTAATGAAACAAATTTGTGATAGAAAATTTTTACAAATTTCAAATTACAAGCTCATGCGCAAGGAAAATATATTTATTATACACACCTCAACCCCTCAACCTATCGGGTTAGACTCGAACACTTGGCATGATACCAGATTAAGAAATAAGTCTGACTCTAATACCAATTATAACGGGTGGATATTTACCTATTTACTCAAAAATTCAAATTGTTGGGTTGGGTAGTAGTGTTACATATCCACTCAGTTATACACATTTCAACCCACGTCTAAATCCAACGTGGGACAAATTTCACTTGTATCAATAAGTTACTTAGCTTTGGTAGTTTAGAAATTTAATTATTGTGTTCGGAAATAGTAAACCCCTTAGAATTGGAATGGAAAGAAAAATAGTTTAAGCTTTGAACTAATTTTTTTAAAATTTTCAAATTCAAAGCATGGGGCAAATATAGCGACAGAAAAGTTGAATCCATTAAAGAAAGTTTCTTATATAAATTTGTGTTCATTACAAAAAAAAAAAAAAAAAAATAATAATAATAATAATAAAATAAAATAAATTGAAAGTGATATTTTTTAAAAGTAAAAAAAATAAAAAATTGAACAGAAGCTTGCAAATCGTCTCCCACGAGAGTTTGTTAGATTGATGTGAGACGTTAGGGTCTCCGACTAAGAAGTAGGTATGATGATTTCGATCGCTAGAAAAGTAGAGAGTTTAGGTCCATGCCTCCAGCGAACCGCCCACCAAATCCGGTTCGCAAGAACTGATGCCCATTCGGCTCCCCCAGCCCGGAGGCGGGGCAAGTTCGCGGCGGCCAAGCTGAGGAAACCCGACGAGAAGTCGGAGTGGTGGGTGGTCGACGGCGAAATGCACGAAATCGGCGACAACGTGCCGCCCAGAGAGAGGTTCGTGATCCCTAGAGACAACATCCCTAACAGGCGTCGCAAACAGCTCAGAGACCAGTTCATGCGCCGGACTCGTCTCGTTATCAAAGAATCGGTAACTCTCTCTCTCTTAGGGTTTCTTTATCGAATTCATTTTGTGTTTGGTTACCGAGAAAATTGCAAATGATGTTTTTCTATTCAATCTTAATTTAGAACTGTCTTATACGAGCACTTTGCTTAGGTTGTTAATTCAATGGTCAGGTTGTTAATTCAATGGTCTGCTTGGTTGATGGGAAAATCTGGTAGAGCACAAAATAAAAAAATTGGAACTTTCTTGTCAGTGACTAATGGCTAATTTTGGCTAGCAAATTTTTCTGGCATAGATGATCTTACATTTATCAAATTTTATTTATTTATTTATTTAAAAATTGTGTGAGAAAAAAGAAAAGAAAAAAAAAGAGGAAATATATTATTGAATGAATATTACATTATTTTGAATCTTTTAACTTTCTATATTTTCTCAGCAATCAACAGGATGGTAGTCTGTTGGTGTTAAATTATGGTTGTCAATTCTTCCATTTTTTTGAAATTTCTCAGCATCTAATTCGGGCTGCTCTTGTTGTCTCTTCTCTCTCTACCAATCCTCGAACTGTTGACATAAGGGTTGACCAGACAAGCCAACTCCTAGGCCAAAGAGGCCACCAGAGGACCACTTACAAGTTCTCAAACCGCTTACATTTTCTCTCTCTCACTCCTATTTTGCCTTTCATTGCTATCTCTGCTGCTCTTTTTAGATGCTGATGGAAGTTGAAAAATCACCAGGTTGCTTAGAAAATTAGAATTAGAACCACTAGTATCTGAATAATAATACACTGTTGTCACTTTCTGAAGAGTTTGAATGTTTACTTTTCCAGGGGAACATGTGATTATCATGTAACTAGTTTACTGTATATAGCCGACTCCCCTATGTTACTGAAAAAAGGCAATTACAGCATTTACAATCAAATTTCATGTAGCTAAGGTTTAATTTGGATTTTGGAGCTATTCCTTGATCAAGGTAATGGGAGGGCATGCAATCTAGAATGTGTCGTGTAAGGGGAAGCAACAATGGGATTAAAAATTCGACATGGTAGCTACTGCCACTCATGCAAAATTTATGTCATAGAATAGAACTTTTTTTCTATCCTTCATTGCTTGTTAACATCTGAACATAACTTTCTCGTATCCTTGTAGTCAACTATACCTTATTTGTATACATTGCATTCGGATAGCACACCAGGGAAGCAACAATGGGATTAAAAATTCGACATGGTAGCTACTGCCACTCATGCAAAATTTATGTCACAGAATAGAACTTTTTTTCTATCCTTCATTGCTTGTTAACATCTGAACATAACTTTCTCGTATCCTTGTAGTCAACTATACCTTATTTGTTTACATTGCATTCGGATAGCACACCTTTGTTGTTACAAGTGCAGGGGTGACAATTTGTGTTGTTTCAATACATGGGTTTCTGTCTACACGAACACGACATGACATGCGACCTGTTTAATGGGTCAAGACTTGACACGACACGAAATGACACAAGACGCGTTTAAGTCATTTTTAACACGAAGAAGACACGTTTATTCAACATGTTTAACTAAATGAGTCATTTTTTACACAAACACGATACGGTTATCTGACACGTTTATTCAACATGTTTAACCAAATGGGTCATTTTTGACGCGAACAAGACACGTTTATTCACCATGTTTAACTAAGTGGGTATTTTTTTACACGAACTCGATACGGCTATTTGACACGTTTAGTAAACGGGTTGGTGGGCCACGACATGTTTAATTATCGTGTCAATTCGGGTCGACACGATTACGACACGAACACGATTAAGTCGAACCTAAACCCACTTATTCCATGTCGTGTTAGCATGTCATATCAAATTTTGCCACGCTAGAAGTGCTTGTACAATTTCCATTAGTTGCTTTATGCTTGGATATTAGATGTAAATTTACCTTGTTTCTATATAATAGAATCTTGCTTATTTTACTTAAAGGAGCATGAGCCATGGTGCAAAAGGTATATGGAACTCTATCAGGAGCTTAGAGAGAATTGGGAGAGACTTTATTGGGATGAGGGCTACTCTAAGAAAATTGCTCAAACTCACGCAAATTATGACTCCGCTGAAGATGATGATCAAGACTTTTCACCATACAGGTCCGTTTATTTTTGTTAATTTTCTTTTATGTCTACCTGTGTTTTCAAGTTTTTGGAATAGTGATGTTTAGATTTCCTGACATAAAGAATACTCAATTATTGTATCACAATTTACACTTTTTAATGGAAATTAAAGAGTATAGTTAGAAGTTTTAATTTGTTTTTCTTGGACAACGTCTTGGAATTTTTAGAATATTTTTCATCTAATATATATATATACACACACACACACACACACACACACACACACACACACACACACACACTACTTTGTGACTTGAATATTTGGGACTTGAATTATGTTTCACCATTCTACTTTGTGTAAGACCATAACTTAGTTAAACTATGTTATCATGTCCTTTCTTACTATCTAATACAAGTTAAATTTGACCTTCCCCTATCTCTTAAATTGCCTTCGTCTCTGGTGCAAATTATTGGTTTTCATTGCACCCACGGTTGGTTGACCATTTAGTCGATACACTCACTTTATCTCCAAAGGATCATTTCATAAATGCTATAATTTACTTTTTTTTGGTAGCTACTGAATATCTATTTCAACAGTCAGATTAAACAAGGTTGTAATTGGGATCCTACACAGGATTGATGGGATCAGGATCATAGGATTGGTTATATATAAATAGAAATATCCTTGAAACAAATATAGAATAAGACTAAAACACAATATATATATATAGATATAGAAATGCTACTCTAAGCATATAACCTACATTTAGGGACAAGTTTATCCATGTATATGAGAGAAAGTAGCTCAAGAGGTAGTGCTCTCACATAACTATGCGAAGACTCTGTTTTTGCTCAGAATAATGAATAAAAAAAGAGGGAGAAAAGGAACAGAGGGGAAAAATATCATGGGTCTCTTTCTATCTTTTATTCATTATAAGCAAAGAATAGGTGGGGAAACAGAGTTCTCTCTGATTTGTTTTGAAAAAGAAAGATAAATAGAGAAATCAACAAGAGAGCAAAACAGAGAAAATTTTGATGGTATGATTCTATACGATCCTACCGGCCAATTTTTTTTTTTTTTGGTTACTGCACGATTCTATGATCCTATCTACTATCCTTCCAATCCTACTGTGGTTGTATCAGCCAAAAAACTTTAGTTCGATTTAGATCAGTTGAGCAATTTGGGATTGTAGGATCTAATGATCCGGCTCTCAATTTAACAATCATGCATATTTTGGAATGCTAATATTTGAAAATGTTGTTTCTTAGCCACAAACAGTCCACTTTATCCATCTTGATATATTGCATGAGCAATATCATCCCATATTCCCACTTCTTGTATATAATTGAGTATGGTAAGAATTGTTCGCCTTTTGGTATCAATTCTGCTAAACTTACATTTTATATATTCAGTTTTATTCCTATTTATGTCACTTTCTTGATTTCTTGACTATAGAAATTCTCTATTAATCTGTAATTTCGCTTTTGTTCCACTTTAGTAATATTAATAAAAACATTACTATTAACATACATTGTAGATTCTCAATGATTTATTTAATGCATTCTCATTTTTCACTGTTTGAAATTTTCCTACTTAACACAAAATAATAATAATAAATCTAATAAATAAATAACTAAAAATCTCCTAGTTTGATTTCTTATTTATCTGTGTTTTCTTTTGAAAAGCCTTTGCTAATTTCAGGGGGCAAAAAAAAAGAAAAAAATTACTGTTCCCTTAAATAGATAAGGTTACTTGTATTTTGAGTTTTAACATTATTTGGTGAAGATAAATCTTACCTCGTTTTCTTATGTCAGGAGTAGGCAACCCCAAGCTGATCAAATGAAGGTACTATTACAAATGACCTACAAGAATTATTTCTTCTGTTGTTTTTTGATCTTGTCATCTTAGTAGGTGTTATATTATGAATGACTACAACAGTACTATAAAGCCTTTTGCTTTGTATTTTTTATGTTTCTTAAGTTTGACCTGCAGGTCCTATGTCTAATTCTTTGAACCTTAGTACAATAGAAATATGACATTTGGTCTAAAATACGATAAGATATTTTCCATGGATCCCACCTTTCTTCAATCCAGGGCCAGCTCAATAAAAGTTGAGGCCTAATGCAAAAAACTCTAAATAAGGCATTTTCTATGTTGAATATATTAATATATAACCTATTAAATATTTTAATATAAAAACTATTATTAACTCTCGAATTTGTGGATTTTTTTTTTACTTAAAATTCATTATTCTCCCATTTTGATATGTAAAATTACTTATTTATAATTGTATTAAAGGTTTTGTAACATAGCTACCATGACTTGACTTTGAGTGCAGTACCAAAGTATGGGGAGAAATGGCCAAGGCGATAATCGGGAAAAGGTTAACCAAATCCGTGACAAGTTTGAATATGACAGAGAGAGAAGAACGAGAGAGAAAGGTTGGTTCAATTGGTTTTGATAATTTTTATATGTTGTGTATTTTTATTTTTTGCTTATTTTACCACTCAGCTCGACCACTAAAAACAGGTTGGAGCCCATATTACTGTGAGGTGGTTAAAAAAACACAAATGAGCAGCTTGAGTTCAGCTCTGTCTTTTAAACGGGTGATCTTTGCTCAAGCATGAGCTCAACTACTAGAGTTGCTGGTATCATCATGCAACTGTGGTAAACTGCAGACAAGATGGATGAGATAGTGATAAAGTTTCGTGCACAAGTTATATTGCACCCAAAAGTGATACAATCATTATTGAAAAATGAGTAACGTTCCAAAAATGCCGACACTAAAATAATTATTATCCAGGTTGATTTTCTAGGGGTGATTTCCTTGCACGGTTATCCATCAGATTCACATTCTCTGCAAATGCTGCTGAAATATTTAGATGGGAAACCATTAGTGCACCTTGGAGGACTCCATGATCATGAAATTATTGTGTTTTTCACCACGTTCACAATGAAATCTTTCCTGTACCAAGGGATTGATCAGTAGGAAATTTAAACCATCGACAAAGTTACTTGTTGAAATTGAAACTTTGCTTTCACAAAACCCTGGGATCTTGCACATACTTGCACCGTTGCACATGTAAAGATACTCGGGCTTAGTAGCTTGGAGAGGCAAACACGCTCATTATGCACTGAAGAAAAATACAACAGAAAGAATTCACTTTTATCTAACATATAAATGTGCATTTCATGGTTGGTCTGTGTTTGTGTTGCTATTTATTTTATTTTATTTTATTTTCGAGTTTGTGTATTTAATTGATATTCTATGGGTTATGATCTTTATTCCTATATTGCGCTTCTTGCAGCCTTTGCACCTATGAACAGAGGAACTGGTTTTGACTCGGAAGATTCAGCCTCCAAGAATCAGCCATTCGACCCTCGTAGATACTTTCCCCAAGATGAAAGCGACTGACTGATGATGGACTGTCAAAGGTTTAATGTGAAAAAGTCTGTGGACTCTACTTTTTTCCGACGAGGAACCTCAAGATTCACAGATTATCATCCTAGCAACAGAGATCTGCAGCAGAAGCATCAAGAAGTTAAGGTCTTGATCATCATCTAACAAATCTGGAGAGGGGGTTTTAAAGACAATTTGACAACACGTTGCAACCTGATGACTTCAAACCGAGATTTACGCTTGGTTTTGCATAATTCCATTATAGACATTGTTTGTATATGATTTGGTTCCCATGGTGTTTTTATAGTCTTGATAAATCTAGATCATGGATGAAAATGCTTCTAGGAAACATGGATGCCAGAAGGAAAAGAAAATTTAGCATTAATTTGTGTTGTTACTACACTAATTATGCTCTTCAATGCATCATTTCAAAAGCATTATATATTGTGGTAACAATGTTGTACTGATCAAGATCTAATATATATATATATGTATATATATATTAAGAGGAATGAAAAATTTCTTTGTTTACAAGGTCATTTTGATGCTCTGTGTGCGCCAAAGCAGCTCTGCCAAACCTGGACAGCTGAGGCTGGCCACCAACCACACTGCCCTGTGTGTTCATGCTCCTGAAACTGGATGTTTTAGTAATCCTAACGCAATTATCACCTAACGGTGTCGACAACGATATCCATGGTGCACCGACTCGGTGGAGACGGCACCTGAAAGAGCCGGGATGGCTGGTCGGAGCACATATGCAGCAGCCTTTCTTCATCCTTGCCTCGGTTGGTTTGCTACAGTCCATCACATTTTTCTTCATGGTCTTGGAGGTTGAGACAACCATCATCTTGTTAGGCCTGTAAAACAATTTAGAGATGGGCCCATTACAATTAATTCAACTAATATATAGCTATTTATCCTCACAGCAAATGCTTTATTGAAAAAAAAAAAAAAAAATTGGTTAGGTGTTTGCATGCTATCTACTATAATTTTTGGACAAACACTGAAAGAGACTATCAGTCAGTGAACGGACCGGAGAATTATATGAGAGGAGGTGGCCTTGAACAATAATAATATATAGTTGGGTATTATTAGAAATTGAGGCAGGATACTTTTAAGATTTTACAAAATTTATTATAAATAAAAAATAATTCAGTGTGGATGGCTGTCCCCACTACCTTAATGGGTGCTTGCCAAAATAACACAGTAAGTAATGTTTCTTAAATAAACTAAGTAATGTTTTTAAAATAAACTAAATTTTCTTGAATTCTAAATTTAAGGGGTTGATTCAGTCCATTCAGAGGTAATTTTTAGAGTTTTGTAATTTATTGTTGTTTAGATGTTAAAAGGACTAAAGTCAGGAAACAGTGATTAGCAAATCAAATTTGATTAAGGCCGCAATATGAAATTAAAGTTTTGAAATTAAAATTAATAAAAATCGAACAAAAATAACTTAAAATTTTGAATTATTATTTGACATAAAACAGTTGAAATTCCTGTTCAATATAGAACAACTTTTTCACAGAGCCGGAACAGCTTTTCAACTGTGTGACTGTGTGTATTAACAGTACAAGGGTGACCATACTAACTTTCTGTTAATAGCATACAGGATTCAATTATTCGAAAGGGTGACCATACTAACTTTCTGCTTTTAGCATGACAGACCCTTTGGTGAGAGATGATCAGTCTTTCCCAACCCTATGATTTGGGACTACCATACCCTACGAAATAGAGGTCACTATTTCAACTACCCCATTTTTCAAATCCACAAGATATTTTTCTAGGTCCACCGACCACACAATTTGTGACGTGTACATGTAAAAAAAGGACATGAGTTCTTTCCAAGTGTCATCACTGAGCCCATGCCCCCATTACACTACTTTGAATGATCAGTCTAGTAAATATAAATTCAAACAATAAAACCTAAAATCAACCTATTAAATTTGAAATTGAAATAAATTTCAATTTCAAATTCGACCGCTGATTTGGGGTTTTCAAATATAATATAATAATTGTTAAGAAAAAAAATAATTATAAAAAACGATTTCAGTCAAACATTCTTACAATTATTATAGAAAAAGAATTATAATATATATATATATATATATAATTATATATAAATATGATAGATTTGTAGAGAAGAAAAGAGATAGAAAGTAGTGAACATACAGTAAATTGGAGGCAGTTGTGGTGTCAATTTCGTTCGGGTTGTTTTGATCCTCTGTTGAGAGTTTCAGTGACTTTCCCATGGCTTCACAAGTAGATTTCCTTTAGAACGCAGACACTGATCAAATCGTTAATGCACACAACAACTATATATATATATATATATATATATATAGAGAGAGAGAGGGAATCCAAATCCCAATAGAAGAAGAACATGAATTTGTATGATTTTTTTCTTTTTTGGATAAATAGTGATGACGTAAAATTGGCGCGTGCTGATAGGATCCCAACTAACTCTTCTTATCAATTTGGGATTTCCTTTTAAATTCAGTCAACCGTCACTTAATTGGAAAGTAAGTAGTAGTAATAGTGAATACGGGTTCGGATATGTTTTGTAATTGGTTGTTTTGCTTTGATTGGACGAAAATGCCATCTCTTATTGGTGATGGTGTGCTAATTTCTCAGGCCGTGATTGTCATAACCAAATTTCGGGCGGGGATATTCAAAGGAATGACTTAGATTTACTTTGACATTCTCCCTCGCATTATAAAAAGGTTTTAGTGAGGACGTGATATCATCCTTTAATTAAAGATGGATATATGCGTGGGAGGATGCATTTATTTTAGTAAATTTTGTTAATGTTTATTCGTATTTAATTAATGTCATCACTATAACTATAGCATTTGCGCATTTATTTTAGTGACTTTTGTCAATGTTCATCCTTATTTAATTATCACTATCACCCAGAGCATTTAAGTTTTTTTTTGCTTTCTTTGTTTTTGTATTTTTTGAAAAATTAATGAAAAAAATTAGCTTGTCTAATTATTACTATTAGATTTTGAATTTTTTTTTTTTTTTTTCCAAAGTAACAATGTAAATTTTGTCTCCATAGGGACTCTCCGAATTTGCCACATCAACAATTTTCCAGAGCCACGTCAACATTTCCCATAACAACGTCAGCGTTTTAGAATTTTCAAATTTTAGCTATCGGATGTACTCCAATGGTGCATTTTCGCTCTCCAAAAATATTAATATTTTTAATAAATTTTATTTTTTCAACTTTTTTTCTAACGACTATATTTTTAAAAGGACTATATCATAAAAAAAATTTAAACAATAGAATATTTATTATTAAAAACAATACGATACGATATAAAATGACTTAGTGGTTGTAGTTGTAGGTTGAAAACTAGAAAAGATGGGTTGGATATGAGGTAAATAATAGTAGGGGTTGATGTATTTATAGAGGAAAAATGAAAGGTTTTTTTTTATTTTTTTATTTTTTATTTTAATAAATATATATTTCTAATGAATTTTTTCAAAAAAAAAAAAAAAATCAAAAAATAAGTTTTTGTGCCAATATAGCCGTTAAGGCACTGTTTGGGTCAGCCAAACAGTGCCTAAAACGGCTATATGTCAATAGAAAAATTTTAAAAAGCAATTTTTTTATAAAAAAAAAAGCACTTTTATCTATTTTTTTTTAACTTTTTTTGCCCAAAAATGCCTTTAAGGCACTGTTTGGGTCAGCCAAACAGTGCCTTAACAGCTCTTTTTTTTTTTTTTTTTTTTTTTTTTTTTTTTTCAGCCAAACAGACCTTCCCAAACAGTGTTATGGGCTAAAACATTGTTTAGGCCAGAATTAAAAAAGAAAAAGAAACCTAATGCGGGCCCACATGTTAGGCCCGTAATTCGCCAAACCAATCTTGATTTTTGGCTACTTGGATCAAGATTGCATTAATGGGGCTCACTTTTTGAAGAGTCCATTGGAGCAGCCCACTCTTCAAAATTGACTCAAAATTGCCAAAAAAAAAAAAAAACTCACCATTGGACCTGCTCTTATAAGTTGGGATGAATTTTCTATTGAAGTTTATGTATCATGATATGATTGTACGACCTTAAAATGTGTTACTCGATTTGAAATAAATATTTTTTAATAAATATTTTAATTATTTGAAGAAGGTGATTGTCCCAAATTCTTTAAGGTAGCTCCAGGGGGTTTTGAACTTCCACCTAAATAGCCTTATCATTTGCATGTCTATCTCTTTGAAATTGAGTTGGGATCAATTTGACCTAAGTAACTTTAAAATGCGACTTGTGGTTAAATGGTATTTCATCTCCCGTCAAAGTAAAAAGTGGAAGATTAAAGTCCCCCTAAAAATATTATGAAAGTTGTTTACGAGGAAGCTTGAGTTAGTCTCAGTTGTATAGACCAAAACGTCTCCTTCAAATGTTGACTCCATTCATAGATTTTTGGCACCAAATTGGTCCATAATCCACAACTACAATTTCTTACAACTGGGTAGAGTATGATATGAATAGGCAAGCCATACATTGTAATATTTCAATTATAGGACACAACATCAGCTTCTACATTTCTTTCATGTATGCTGCTAACCTTATAAATTAAAGACAGTTACTTTGGGAGAACATTATACATCATGCAGGCATCTTCTCGTAGTCTCCATGGCTACTGATTGGTGATTTTAATGTCATCCCTAATGCTAGAGAAACACATGGTGGCTCAATGAGGTGGTGCCAGCTATAACAAAGTTCAGGGAGTGTTTGCAATAAGTTAAGCTTGAAGATCTCAAATTCAGTGGCATCCTATATTGTTGATGCAATAAGAGTATGAGAACTATATGTGTTGAAGTGAGATTCTGCACGATCCAGAATGACACCGTTTCCTACAAAGAGAAGCAATGAATCTTGACAACACCGGTGTGGTGACTGCCAAGAGCTCTCCGATATTCAAGTTAGTCACCGGAGCTCTGAAATATTAGTAAGATTTAATATATTAATTATCTCATACCATTCAAGTCGATTATTTACCTTCTTATAAGAGATGATAACTGTCGTTACATTTGATAACCGTCCCTGAGAGATTTTTGATGATTCCATAGAAATTTTGGGGAGGATAAATCCCTTACCCTTATCTCATTTGAATTTGAATTTGAGTTGCTCATTATTTATGTTGATGCAAAAATCCTCACGATTCGGAACGACGGCGTTTACCTGCAAAACAAAAGGACGAAATCTCGAATGGCACCGGTCGGGTGCCAGCCGAGGACCATCCGACGATTAAATTAGTACTTGTAATCGTATCATATAATAATTATGTATATTCTGTTTAGGGATCAAGTTAGTACAGACAGATTAAAGTAACCGCCTTTTGAAGCTTCTGGTGGTTTCTTGATAGGTTCGAACCAGCAAGCCCGTTCCTATTCCTATCCCTGACCAAAAAATTGAAATCCACAGTAACAACGTCCAAGAAACCGAAAAGCTTCAAGCGGCCTAACCTTCATGAGCTCATAGGGAGTAGTCATTTATAAGGATGCCTTGGTGATGTAACCTCTTTTTTCCCCCATTTTTTTTTTTTTTTAGAGAGAGAGAGAGAGAGCGGTGGTTATTTACGAGCAATGCTGGAAAATTGTCCTTCGAGCTAGTGCTCAGCTTCATATTGGAATTGCAAAGTTCTCTCTTTTTATAACTTTCTTTCTTTTATGAAAGAAATAGAAACTACTTTGCAGGAAGACACCAAATGTGGTCCATTTAAGATAAAATTAGGAGGTGGACGAATTTGAAAACTTATGATAGGTGTAAATGACGTGTGATAATATAACAAGAGCAATTCTCACACTCCACCATAGCTTACTTAACCAGGCACACTTTCTTAATGCTGCAGGGGGTCAATAATTTTGCACTATAAAGAGGTATTTCATCAGCCAAGTAAACTTATAACACCATGGGATAAGACAAGACAATTGATAGTTATTTGTTCTTGGAAAATTATATGATGTAGAGGTACTACTAACACTATACTTATGTACTGCTTTCAGATTAATTACATGGACGGGGTCCAGTAAATCTTAGATTCCCTCCCTCAAATAAACAGAGCTACCTGTTATAATTTGGACCTATGTTGAAGAAGGGGTCCACCACAAACACAACCCAATTGTCTACCACAAGCATTTATTCTTTTATTCCCCGAGCAGTGCTGCTTATGACTTCATTTTATTTTCTATTTATATCATGGGGATATGTTGAGTAAATTAGTGAGTCATATTAGTTACCATATGAAATACAATTTCTTCCATTTTCCTTGTTCTTTTCGTATCATACACAGATTACTTTATTTTTTATTTACATAAATATATTATAAAATTCATTATTACATATTAAACAAATGAATGATTGGAATAAACATTTCATTCTATTTCCGCACACCAAACACAACGTTAAAGAAATGAATGAACTTTATTTTGTTATGAAATCCATGTTTGGTAACATGTATACTATAGACTAAAGGAAAGAGAAGGGAAGGGAAGGGAAGAAAGGAAAAGGAAAACTCAATCTAAACCCTAAGCTGATTCACTTGGGGAAGAGAGAAGGGAAGAAGCCTTGGATGCGGCAATTATAAACACTACTTCAAGATCAAATGATGAGAGAGTGTCTTTACCTTTTGTTCCTTTTCTCCACATCCTTTCTACATATTGTCAAGCCCACATTCAGGTCTGGTTTTGACATTTAGTGTCCACCGTCACCACTTTTTCCTTCCTAACATGCTTTATCTTCCTTTCATAAGACGAAAAGAAGGAAAAAAATTTCAAAAGAAAAGAAATAGAGCATTCTCCGTTGAATGGGTGCACTTTTCTTTCATGTGCTTTCTCTTTTCCAATGTTTAGCCTTTTAAAATGTGGTCAAATTAAATAATCAAAATTTGGTCAAAATTAAATACTCAATATTTAGTGTGCCATGTGCTCAGACTCAGAGTCATACGTGCACAACACGTAGGATTCGAATGAATGAGACTAGTGCATGGTAAATGCACCCAATTAATACCTTCTCACGACACATATATAGCATTTTTTTGGTCCACTGTGATACAGAACAAAAGTGGAACTATATGGAGAACAAATATATATATATATATATATATATAAATACATATATATAATATTATAAAGAGACACCATGATTTGAACATAAGGAACCCACCCTTTCTCTTTTTACAGACACAGCCTTTCTTCTAGCTAGCCCAAATTCCGACACTGTTAATTCTCTCCCCAGTCCCTACTTTTGACCCAATACAGGCCGATACTCGAAACAGAAGCCCAAAAGACAACTAGAAAAGAAATAAAACCGTTAGCAAGAAGAGTTTGTTATCATTATCATATGATAATGATGATTTATATCTTCTTGAGGCCAACAATTTCTTTCTTAGCCTCTAGCAGAAGACAAAGTACATCAACACCAATACGTACATGTCTCTATTAATATAATAATATGTATATATATTTATATATATATAGTCTTCTCCTTCTCCATAGATGCACATAATCCTAAAAGCTTCACCATGTTTATGTGGCACAGGTTGGCAGATAGCAGCTTGAAAAGAAGCACCAAACCCTCTTCTGTAAAAAGAAAAAGAAAATATATTTTAAAATAATCGACATAAGACAAGGTTACACGCTTCTTTGCAGTTTGCCTTTAAAAATACAAAATTACCCATCCACAAAAAAAAAAAAAAAAATCTAAGGTCACATTTAATTAATAGTTTTTATTTTTTCAAAATTTCAAACAAATATTAACCACACAAAATATTGCTCATGGAAAGGATAGGGTTCAAACTTTCAATCTCTCTTTCGAAAAGAGGAGATTATTACATCTGAACTAATCTCCATGAGTATTAGGATTATGATTATAAATAAAATATAAAGGTCAAAGTAAATATAGTTGGGAAAACACTTTGTAGCTAGGGTTGTGTTTGTGAACGCAATAAACGGAGTCAACAGCATTAATTGCACTTTCAAATCTAACATTGGTCATAACCCTACAAGTCTAAGTCATCAATTAGCACTATTTTAGGCACCCAATTATCAACATTTTATTAATAAATAAAGGGAAAAAAAAAAAAAAAAAAATTATGTCACAAGATTAACTACCATGACTGTGACCACAAGTCCACCAACCATCACAAACTTGACCCAAAGAGGTAGTGATGGTATGAGTCATAACCCATAAAATGAAAATGACAATTAGTCTGATTAATAAATAAGTCAAATTGTCATTCAATGCTTTTATGATAATACCCATATCTTTTTCCCTAAATTTTCTTATTTAGTTTTTAAAAATCATCTTCATTCGAAATAAATAAATGAATTACCCATTAAAAAGTAAATTATGGTAAGAAATAATTAACTTTAAGCTCCGTTGAGTCATCTTTGATAACTTTTTTGTGACCTTTCAATCTCACTCTATTATAAATGTGATAGACATGTAATTTATAACGCAGAGAGAGAGAGAAAAGAAGTGAGAGAGACACAGGTGGGGACAAAGCTCACCCTTTTTGTTTTAGCATAGAGGAGGTCCGGTGAGATCTTGTAGAGATCCTCATCCACAGCTTTAGGAGCCTTTTTAGGCAGAGGAGGAGGAGGTGGTGGTGGTGGTGGTGACATTGAAACAGGACTTGGTGGCTCTTTCACCACCCACCCTTCCTTTTTACCTTCTTTCACATGCTCCCTATGCCGTCCTTTCGCCTACAATCCCATCACAACTACAACTCGTCACCATCCAATTCTTATCATTCTCATTTTGTTAAAAATAAAATAATAATAAAAAAAACAGATTTCAGAATATTGAAAAGAGTGTTCTTAAAACTAAATCTTTTTAAAATTTCATTAAATTGTAAAGGGTCTTCTCTGTTCATCAAAAAAAAAAAAAAAAAAAACTTACATTTTTTAAAATATTAAACAAAACATGACCCTTAGTTTTCATGGAATTATTTTCCTTCCTTCAAACAATCTTGCTCTGTTTTTATTTTTTATTTTTTATTTTTTTTACCAAGAAAAAGGAAGGCTTCTGTGAGAAACAAAAGACAAAAATGTTTTTGCTTTTAAAAACAGAGAAAGTAGTTTCCAAACATAAATACATTGAACATGCAAAATAAGAGGTGTTTAAGCTTATATACCCTCCGGCGAGGAACGACGATCATGGCCGGAGTGACGACATCATTCTCGTACAAATCTCCGGCGACGTACAGATCACGATCTTCGGAGTAGCTGTAGCGAAGCAAACCGGCTTGTCTGGCGGATTCAAAACACTGAGTGAAAGGGAGGTCGTCGGAGCAATCCCAGCTTCCGAAAGCTGGAACATGATTTCTTCTGAAATCCTATATATACATATATAAACACACACACACACAAACCAGTATAATTAAACACGAAGTCATTACATATACACATGCATATAATGAAGAACTATACACAGTAGCAAATTGAAACTGAAAATGAGAGAAAAAAAATGCTTACATCCATTGGGATTTGAATGAACAAGTGTTGGAATCTTGGAGATTGACTTCTCCTCAGAGTTTTCTAAAATGGGTTCTCTTTCTTTGTTGTTCTTTCTTGTGCGTGTGTCTGTGAGCGTGGGTTGGTTGGGGGTTTAAAAAGGAAGAATTAGAGAGAGAAAGAGAGTAGAGAGAGAGGGGGGGCTTTTCTTTTTTCCTTTTTTCTTTTTTGGAACAGGATATAGTGATAAATAAACAGTTCAAAGGGTTTTTAAATGGTATCTTTCTTTTGTATTGGTGGGTCTAGAGGGAGAGAGAGAGTTAGAGAGAGAAGAGTTAGAGGGTTAAGATTTACTGTAAGAAGGTATGGAGATCCAAAGAGTAGTTAATTCTTCTACAGGGAGAAAGAAAGAAAGAAAGAAAGAAAGCAACCCAGATCTCCATGTTTACAGTAGAAGACAGAAAAGACAGATAGGTAAGGCTACAGAGAGAGAGAGATGTGTGTGTGTGTGTGTGTGAGAGAGAGAGAGACAGAGAGACAGAGGGAGGGTCCGAGGGGAAGGTTGCTTTAGTTTTGCTTTTTTATTGGGTTTTCTTTATCACCTTTATCAGGGGAATTACTTTACCTTGTTTGTCGCTGATCGGTGTATATTCCAATGAATACTCTATAAAGTTAGTTTCTTTCTGTGTTTCTCTCCCTGTGTGTGTGAGAGTGTGTGTGTGTGAGAGAGAGTCTTTTTCTTCAATCTCACAGCAAAGCTTGAAAATGGCTTTTTATCTATCCCCCACATGCGTACCGGACTAAATCATGGTGCTTTGTGCAATGCGGAGTAAATTGAAAATTCAATTGAATTGGTGAAGTAGATAGATTCAGAGAGGAGGACACAGAAAGTCAACAGTCTATATGAGCATGACCAGGTTTGAATGTAGTACTATGAATTGCAGTCTAAAACTGTAAAATTGCAGTAGACAATTTTCCAGAATATATGTATATATATATTATATATATATATATATATGTAAATAAAATATATAGTTTTTGATAGGAACAAGAAGATAGAGCATTGTGCAGTGTGAGCTACGCTTGGGATTTCAATGCGGTCATTGGCGATGAAAAAAAAAGTCAAGCGGTTGAATTAACTTTGGCATGGAGATTCCAACACCCCTGCTTGGACTTGGAGGGCTTCAAACACAGAGCACTAGTCAAGAAATTATAAATTAACTTCATAGATTTGACTGCAACAACCAATGCTATGGCTTTGCTGATCTAAAGAATGTGTGTGTGTGTGTTAATTTGAATGATTAAAATGAAACAGAACAAAAAATTTGGCCGAATGTTAAGATTCTGGCAATCCGAATGGCTTATTAAAATTTTAAGATTCGAGCAAGAAATTATAAATTAGCTTTTAGATTTCACTCCATAAAAGTTTATGGCTTTGCTGATCCAAAGAATATATATGCATGTAACTAATGGGCCATTAATTCAATGATATAACAATATCTCCTTCCTCGCAGAGGTTCAAGCTCGGAGACGGCAAATTGTAAAAAATTTAGGAAAAAATAACTTTGTAATGATGTATAGAGTATGATAAATACGGTACATTATCACGGCACAATTTGATTATATTTTTCACACTTGTTATGTTATTATAGCACGAAGGTATTTATTAATAACATAATCCTAACACTTGTTATGTTATTATAGCACGAAGGTATTTATTAATAACATAATCCTAATTTTTGGATGAACCAAATAATAATCGATGTATTTGATCTATTTATTTGTGTTTGCTGTTTAATTTGACAACACACACATATATTTAAAACAGTCAAATTATTAAGAATTATTCAATTCAGTTTTTCAACAAATTTTATAAAGACAAACCAATTATATATATATATATATATATATATATATATAACAATAATTATTTTTTTTCAAACTTTAGATACACACAATTGCTAATAAATTACCAAATATGGGGAGAAAATAATTGGAATAGCTAGGGAAGAAGAACCAATACATTTTAAGGGAGAAAATGCATTTTACTCCCACTGAGCAACGCTAGTAAGTTGTTGTCTTTCCTTTTCTTTATTTTTTTGGTATTAGATTAAATTAGGTAGGATTTATATGAATTTTAAATATTAAATGAAACTTACTTGTTGTACCGTTTGATCCATCAATAAAATCCAGAGGATATAATGATGTCATAGTATTAATAATACTAACAGGCCCAGTTGCAGAGTCTCATTGGGGATTGAGTCTGACTTGCATAAATTTCAGCTCTTTGTTTCCAGTAAAACTGAGTCAAATGTACTTGAATGGGTTTTATTAGTGCTTAATAAAAAAAATATCCAAATTTAATAAATGATAGTAATATAAAATGCACAGATGAAGTAGAAATTATACAGACTCAATAATTGAGCTTGTTTGGTTTGTTCTCAAAAATTCATATAAAGAAAAACAGTTTTTTAGACGGTAATAAAAGACAGTTATTTGAAAATAAATTTTTTTATAATTAAATTTTTAAAAAATAGTTTTCAAAAAATTAAACTAAAAATAATTTTTGTTCAATTTTTTATTTTTAATTTACCATGGCCCAAACTTATATAATCAAAATCTTTCTATATATGATTCGATATTGGACAAACCGCTCTAAACAATTATTCATTCCAATAAGGGTGCTCAGGCCCCAACATGTCCTAGGCTTTGTATTTGAGCCCTAAAATTGTTGGCCTTAAACCATTATGGGCTCTTGATGGATCATTGGGCTGGGCTTGCTAATGGGTATGGACTCTTAATACTTTGGGGCCCTCCATCATGGTTTGATTCGTTATTCAACTTATTCTCACACTTTTTAGAATGTAAAAATAGTTTTGATTTTTTTTATTTATTTATAATAAATTGATTTTTTTAGCAGCATTTCTTTTACCTTATTATCCTTATACATACAAAAAAAAAAAAAAAAAAAGAAGGTTGGACCCGCGAGTTTTTTTAATGTAACTTCTGCTAGCACTTTACATAGGTTATGGTTGAAAAATGTTTCAAAATATTTTTAAAATATTTTTAAAAATAAATATGTATATAATTAAACTCTAATTATTTTGATTCATGACAGCCTTAAACGATAAAGTTATAAATGTGTTCACTTATATATGCATGTTGTTGGGTGGTTCGCGCATCAACAAGTGAATTGTTTTTACGTTTATTCATACTTAACATATAACGTTGTCAATGAATTTTGGGATGAATCAAGTTAAATTGAATGCACCAAAATTATTGAGATACATGTGACATTATTGTTATGGAATATGAATATTTATAATTCATGTATTTTGAGATTTGAACACATTTGTGAAGATTCACTCAAGAGGTCTGTGGAAGGACCACACTTCCCTCACTCAAGCACGAATCAAGTATGATTAAGTTCAATTCCATCTCATATTGAAATTTTCTTTCCTCAAATTTTAGAAGTTTAACTTCTAAATATTTCATACTGGGGGCATTCTGAAAAGATATTTAAGCGTTGCACCTAACAGTGTATCGATTGAATTATGGAGATAAAGTTGTCATGATTCCTTACACCTTGTGGGAGGTTTCGACTATCTTCAAAAAAACGTTTAAGCGTCTCCAAGTTATAGTCCAAGTTTTTTGAAAATTTTATTTTCGCTATATTTATAAGTGCAAGTGTTTTTCGTGATTTGTGATAATCAAATTTTCAACACTTATAAGAAAATATGGTGAAAAATTTATTTGTGCAATATCATTTATTATTTTTCTTTAATAGTTCAAAGTGATAAATCAGTACAAATTTTACTTATATAAATATTACAAATAGCTTTGAGAAGGGAAAAACATACTAAAAATTCTAACAAAATTGAAAATTACAATCTATTCACTATAATAATATGGAAAATGATGCTTATCATGAAAAACCAATTTCATAATCCATAGAAAAGATTTTTAATTGGCTCATTAGACGTTGTTTAATCAAATGATCAAACACGTGAATTGATATAATATTTGTTGTAGTATTGAAGTTTCACCAAATGATTATTATAAAGTGTTTAGCTTTAACCATTTGATCAACATTCTTGAAAAAAAGAAAAAAAAAAAGAAAATAAAATATAACACGATTTAAAAAGAGAAAATTTTGATGAATAAAAAGAAATTAGTTTTGGACTTAGGCAAGTCCAAAACTAGACCTGAATTGGGTTTGACTTTGTTAAAGCATTCAATGTAATAAAGGTCAGAGTTATCTCCTAAAATCTAAAGATTTTTTCTTTCGGAAAGTTACTAAATTCTAAAGTTCTTGATTAACAAATATATAGGAGTTTCTAAATATAAATATCTTATTAAATAGGTCAATTCAAATACAATTTATTTAATAATTGTGTGAGAAATTTTTTATACAAATACAACACAATTTGTTCATTAAATAAATAATATGATCCATGTAACTTATTTAATACAATTTGGCTTACTTGTAAGTTGGGTCCACTTTATGTAGATGCCAAGATTAAAATCTCACTTTAAGATAAGGTGAAGTTCACAGTTGAAAGAGTGAATGTGAAAATGAAAGTGTCAAATTCACAAAATTTAAGTCATACAGTGTGAATCGATAATGAAAGCTGTGCAGTAATACTCATTTAAAAGAATTGTGAATCTATCTTCATCTTTTTTCGAACCCTCCTAAAGAAACTTCTTCTCCTTCACCTCCAATGAATGCTCTGTGGAGTTGTTGAAGTTCCCGCCCAGGTCTGGTTTAGGGTAGTTAGGTTCGTTGATTAATGGGTGGGCAAATGGTAACACATTTTGGGTTTGTTTAACTTGGGCTGCCCTTTTGAAGGATTTTTTTTAATTATTATTTAATTATTATTATTATTATTATTTTGGTAACCAATGATGTTTTAGCCCATTGGGTTGGGTGGACTATTTTATTTAGGCCTTGGGGTATGGAAGTATTTTTTCCGAAAGTAAAAAGTAAATCATTTTAAAAACATAATTTTATATAATTTTTTAATGCTCCATTCGGTAAGAAAGAAAAAAAAAATTAGAGAAAAGGGAGAGAAGAAAGGATTGGTAAGACATTTTTAAGAAAGAGTGCGTATTTCATTATTTTTATTCAGTTGGATGGAAGATAAGAGAATAATAGAGAGAATGAAAAATAATGTTTTAAATTGTTTTTATTATTATGTCAAGTAATATTTATAATATTGTAATTCATAGATAATACTACTATAATTTAAAACTTGTGTAATTTAGAATAGTGTGGGTGTTATACCCTCAAGTCCACATGAGAAACACTACATCATCAACAATGGCCCACACAGCTCGATCAAACGGTCAAATAACTACGTCACATCAGTAACGATGGCCCACATAACCTGGTCAACAGTCAAACTTATCACGACATTAGCGTACTTCGAACAAAAGACTGAAGACCTGAGTTGGGAGTAGGATTCAGGATTACCTGGGATCTGAGGAGGTTTTGGTTTGGCGGCTAAAGTCCAAGGTTCACATCAGTAACGATGGTGCACATAACCTGGTCAATAGTCAAAGTTACCACGACATTAGCATACTTCAAACAGAAGACTGAAGACCTGAGTCAGGAGCAGGACTCAGAATTACCTGGGATCTGAGGAGGTTTTGGTTTGGTGGTTAAAGTCCAAGATTTGCTGAGTCAACACTCGACCTAACTTGTAGAGAGAGAAATACCATTTTGACTCTCGAGCATTTAATCCCATCTTATTCAACATTGCTTTATAATTATTTAAGAAATTAATCACTTTTAATTATTTTGTTAATGGACCCACACGTGATGTCATCGATGACATCACCCACTTTTACTTGGCTTATAAAAGGATGTGACCTAAGGCCAAGAAGGAGGTAGACAAAAAGAGGGAGGAAATGACCTAGCTCCCACATGGAGAGAGCTTTAGGCTCTCTGTTAGATACAGATTTCCCCCCACTTCACACATTCATCAAGGGAGTCAATGGTGTTCCACCTCTCTCTTGAATTTGTCTAGGCTTCCACCTTTCTCAATCCACCTCGGATTCTACTATGTTGCAAGTTATACTTCACCATTTGTTACTTGATTATGATTTAGAACCCCCTAAGTACTAGGTACTTACAAATAGTGTTAATTTTTTATTTTTATTTTTATTATTATTGAATTTTGCTATTTGAACTCCCTTATTAGATTGAGCAGTCTAAAATTATAAAATACATGATATGAACATGGATCAATTATAATCATAATTTTTTTTTTCATGTTTTGTATTTTAAATTTAAAAATTGTTATTTTCACGATTTTTAAGAAGACTTATTTGTGAGTAAATCATTAATTTTAAGAGAGAAAAAATGAAGTCCCAATCAGAAGGCTTCCAAATGGGTATTAAAAAATAGGGTAAAGTACAGCCACACTCCCTAGGTTTTGGCAAAAGGACACTCAGATGAAACTTTCTTATTTTTTGGACAATACACCCACTGAAGGTTCAAAAATGGACAAAGACACCCCTTTATATGAGAAATTGACCAAATTACCCTTTGACTGTTTAGGAGACTTTTTTAACTTTACAATTTAATAAATTGGACCAATCTACCCTCATGAACAATTTATGCATAAAAAAAAGTAACAAAAAATATATATAATTGTTATTTACTTTATAAATGTCCCAACTACTTAAAAATGTAGACGATTTTTTGATCCAGTACATATATTTCAAATAAATTATATTTTGTTATTACTTCTTTTTTTTTTTTTATTTATAAATTAAGATGCTTAATTCTTTCATCTAAAAAAATTAAACCAATCTCTTTTCCTTAATAATAAAAATATGGTACCAATATAACTTTATACATCTTAAATTATATATCAAAATTATGCATTTCCTAACATAAAAGGGTAAAAAAATAAAAATAAAACAAAGGGAAAAAAATAATAATAAAACAAAGGGGGGGAAAAAGAAACAAAGGCATGCATAAAGTTAAGATGTATAAAGTTATACTAGTACTTATTTTCTTTTATGTTGGGAAATGCATAATATTTGATATATAATTTAAGATGCATAAAGTTATACTGGTACCATATTTTTTATTTTTAAGGAAAAGAGATTGGTTTTATTTTTTTGAATGAAAGAATTAAGGATCTTAATTTAAAAATAAAAAAGAAAAAGAAAAGAAGTAATAACAAAATATAATTTATTTGAAATATATGTATTGAATCAAAAAATCATTTTAGACGTCTACATTTTTAAGAAGTTGGGACATTTATAAAGTAAAAAAAAAAAAAAGTAAACAATATAAAGTTTTTTTTTTTACTTTTTTTTTTTTTTTTTTTTTTTTTATGCATAAATTATTCATGAGGGTAGATTGGTCCAATTTATTAAATTGTAAAATTAAAAAAGTCTCCTAAACGGTCAAAGGGTAATATGGTCAATTTTTTATATAAATGGGTGTTTTTGTCCATTTTTGAACCTTTAGGGGGTGTCTTTGTTCAAAAAAACAGGTAAATTTTATCTGAATGTCCTTTTGTCAAACCTCAGGGGATGTGGCTGTACTTTAACCTAAAAAATATAATAAAAACACACAAACACACACAAATACAAACACTTAGAGAACTGTAACATTGTCACATAAAGTACAAATAAGGAGTCCTGTAGGTAACATTATCATGAAATAATGGTAAAAACAATTATAATGGCACTACCTCAAAACCTATAATGCAATTGTTTGATGGTAAACAACACTCTATAATGAAAAAAATGGTACCTGAAGAGACCAAACAACTTTTAGTACAATATAAATTGTTAATTTATGATGGTTGGGTTTATAGAACAATAATATATATATATATATATATAGAGAGAGAGAGAGAGAGAGAGAGAGAAGATGGTTGGGTTTAGGAGGGAAAGAAGAGACTAGAAAATCATATACGTTTCATTTTCTAGGTCATCTAATCTCTCTTTCAAAATTTTCCCTGTAAATGGTTAGTCACTCTACCCGTAAACACACACACACACGAATATATATCATCTCGTGAATACACACCCAAATATACTCGGTTTAAACTTTAGTCAATGCATTTTAATGTACATGAAAAACCACATCAAAAGGGTTCAAATTCATTCTTTTTCCTTTTCCTTTTTGGCAGGAGTTAAAGCAGAGGAGATTCAGGTTGAAGCTGACAGAAGGAGCACTGGGTTTGCATAAGCCGAGGATGAAAAAAGATCACTATTGCAATAAAGTTCAGAAAATAAAGTTAGACAATAAATATATAATAACGTTCAATAAATTTTATAAAGAAAAGAGGGAAATACACATAGAGTCGTCAAAAGATCAACTCCAGAGAAACAAAACAAGGCCAAAGCCACACCCAGCCACCAAACCACCAAGCAAAAAAGCAAAGAAGCTTCTTCTGCCACAACGCATAGACGTTAATCTTTATATGAAACAAATTATTCATAAATGAAAATATAATGTATATAAATGCCAATTTGGTGAAATAATGTTTTTTTTTTTTCCTGTGGATAATGTGGTGCAATAATGTTAGGAAAAGGAAAAGACAAAAACTAACATAGATTGGTATAGTGTGATATTTTTTTCTGGAAAAAAAAAAAATGCATGATATAAACTACTCCGCAGTATGCAATTGTTACACAGATTATGACATCAGACAATGAAGAATAAGAAAACGGGATTCACATCCCTAATAATTAACTAAAAATGTTTTGTTGAACTGAATTACAATATTTTTTTTTGTATCCTTAGTATTTATTGAAGGGAAGATCTAGAAGAAGATAAAAAAAACTGTTTTTGAAAGGTGTCAAGTAAATACCAAACCGAGCATAAAGGAAAAATACTTGTGGGTTGAATTAGTCTGATGGAGATCTAATGGCTCTTAGAAGTGTGATGTTGCAATCAATGAAATAAATGCAGAATCAAAACTCCTGTCATCAATTTCAAACCTTTTTCTAAATTTCAACAACTATGCTAGCAATATAGACCTGAATAGTAGTTGCAGGCCCCATTAACACGAAACGGTCGTTGCACGCAACCAAACTCTACGCAAGAAAGAAAAAAATGGCAATTCATGACTTTGGCTCAGACTTCACAAGTCAAGAATTGAGGAAGAATTACAAAGAAAAATTTGTTACACTACTAAATCATTTTTTGAAGCTGCACTCTTAACTCAATCTTCTTCTACATTTCTACTAGCCTACTTTGCTTGCAAGAAGCTATGGGAACACGAGTTAGAATGTTCCTATTTGCTCTTGTTTTCATAGAATTAGGAGTTGGTATTGGGTTGCAAATCAATAGAGATCAGTCAAATGTAAGCTGCACAAAGGGTGAGCTTAAAGCTCTTCTCAAGTTCAGGGAATCTCTCGTTGACGAATCAAATCGTCTATCATCATGGGTTGGAGAATACTGTTGTACGTGGACGGGAGTGGGTTGCAGCAAGAGGAGACACACAGTCGTGGAGCTTGATCTACACAATCCATTTTCGTTCGACCTTGGGATGTTCTTCACTGACAGCAATGTCACTGCGAGAGATTTATATAATAGAGCCAGTTTGCAAGGTGAGATAAGTCCTATTCTCAATCTGAGGCATTTGCATTACATCGACTTGAGCAATAATTATTTTTCAGGAACCCAAATTCTAGAATTCCTAGGCTCCCTTAAGAACCTGAGATATCTTGACCTCTCCAATTCGGGTTTTGAGGGGCAAATTCCCCGCCAATTTGGCAACCTCTCCAACTTGCAACATCTCAATCTTGGCTTAAACTCTTTACAAGGTCCAATTCCCGATAGTCTTGGAAGGCTGTCATCTCTCACTTTTCTTGACCTTAATGACTTTGATGGTTCATACTCCCCAATGCCTAGTTGCTGGTGTAAAATGAGCAACCTTGTTCATTTGGTACTCGGTCTTGCAAGTTACCAAGGTCCACTTCTTCCTTGCCTTTGGAACTTGAATTCTCTTACAGTCCTTGATCTCTCTGAGAATAGTTTTGAACATTCACTCCCAAGTGAGATAGGCAATCTTACACAACTTACTGTCCTTGACCTCTCTCATAACAATTTACAAGGTGAAATACCAATCACCATAAGGAATCTCTGCAGCCTGCGCAGTTTCAATTTGTCTTCTAACTTGTTCACTGGAGAGGTACCATTTTTCCTAAGAAATACATCTACTTGCCTCCAAAAAAGTTTGAAGGGGTTAAACCTTGGATCAAATAAGTTCACAGGTTTTTTGCCAAATCAATTGGGAGAGTTTAAGATGCTAGAGGGGTTAGATATCCCTGACAATTTATTTAGTGGTCTAATCCCCGCATCACTTGGAAGACTCTCATCATTAAGATGGTTATCTGTTTCTGATAATCAGTTGAATGGGAGCATTCCCTCGAGTCTTGGACAACTTTCAAGGCTAGGGTCGTTAGATGTCTCTAACAATTCGTTGGAAGGTATGGTATCTGAACTTCACTTTGCCAAACTCACTAGGTTAGAAACGTTGGACATGTCTTCTTGGAACTTGTTAATTGTGGTGAATGTGAGTGTACACACAAATTTTGTTCCCTACAAATAAAGACAAAATATAGGCAAAATAATAATTTATTAAATCAAAAATATTTGGAGTACAATCCTTTGTGATATCTTTTACAAAAAGAATGGTCCTCTGATTTGATCTCCTTTTTGTTGTTGGTTAGATCCAAGGGCTGCACGAGCTTGTTCTTGAATCACCGTGGAATTTGATAAAGAACGGCACGTTGTTGGATGTGCTTGTTGTTGATCACCGTAGAATTTGATAAAGAACGGTACATCGTTGGATTTGCTTGATGTTCTTCGCTTTTGGGTTTGAATTCTGAATTTGCGTCTCTGACTTCTGAATCTCTGGATTTCTGGATTTCTGGACTTCTGAATTCTGAATTTGTGTTTGAATTTCTGAACTTCTGAATTCTGAATTTGTGTTTGAATTTCTGAACTTCTGAATTCTGAATTTGTATCCTTTGTTAAATTTGAGGAAGAACGGCACGTCTTTGGATGTGTTTGTTGTTCTTCGTCTTCAGAGATGATTTGTTGAATTTGATGAAGAACGGCACGACTTTGGATATGCTTGTTGTTCTTCGCCTTCAAGTTTGGAATTTCTGGACCTTTTGGATTTCTGAATCTCTGGATTTATGGACTCTTTGGATTTCTGAGTCTTTGGATTTCTGGACTCTAATTTTTTTTTCCCCTTCTCCCTTCATTCAAGCGTCTATTTATAGGCTTCTTGGATTGATAGGATGATGACACGTGTCTCTCCTAATAAGGATAAAATTATAACTGGGCTGGGCCGGTTATATTATGATAATTATCCTTAAAAATAATTATTCATAATATATTTTATTAGGAATAATTATCTTTTTATTTAACCATTTGGGCTGAGCTAATTAAATAATTTAAGTGGACCAAACTTGGGCCAATTAAATAACTTAATTAAACATTAGGCCCATATTTAATAGGTCCATTTGTCAACACCAAAGCCCACTAAAATTTCAGTGTTTACAAATTGCCCCCACTTCGAGTCCCAAGTTTGACAAGATTTGTCTCCTTTTTCAAATGGGATTTGAAGTATCCAACTTTCCTTATTTATTTATTTATTTATTTATTTTTGGATTGGAATTTGACTTTCCTATTTGAATTGAATTGTACAAATCCCAATACAACTTGGAGGTATCTTGTTGCCTATATATACCCTCAATATTGTAGGGTTTGACATTAATTCCAATAATCTCTGAAGACTTGTCAGATCACAACTTTTGAAGACTGTGTTGGATTGCTGCCTCTACTTGAACACAAATAATTGGTATGTTTTTTTTTTTTTTTTTTTTTTTTTTTACTTTCCTGTTTTTTTTCATGCTTTTAGTCCCTCTGGGACCCATTGTTCCTTCAGAATGCGTCTAGTCCGTAAGGACCCATTGTTCCTTCGGAACGCAACTAGTCCGTAAGGACCCATTGTTCCTTTGGAATGCATCTTGTCTGTAAGGACTTATTGTTCCTTCGGAACGCAATTAGTCCGTAAGGACCCATTGTTCCTTCGGAACGCATCTAATCCGTAAGGACCCATTGTTCCTTCGAAACGCATCTAGTCAGTAAGGACCCATTGTTCATTCGGAACGCAACTTTTTCGTAAGAACCCATTGTTCCTTCGAAACACATCTAGTCCGTAAGGACCCATTGTTTCTTCGGAACGCAACTAGTCCGTGAGGACCCATTGTTCTTTTGGTACCAAAATCTTCCATGCTGCCATTCCACACTTTTTTTTTGTTTTTTTGTTTTTGTTTTTTAGGTGCTAGTCAACCATGGTGTTTTTCAAGAATTTCAAACCCTATACTATCACCGTTTTGGAGCGAGAACAGACTCTGAGAGGTCATGCCATTAGCACAGACAGTGTCGTTAGCAACCATGAATCAACTCGGAGAGCAATGAGATATATAGGTGCAGGGAGGCTTTACCAACAGCTCAGACAACGTTATCAACACCTGTTGCCAGAGCGTCTTCATCAGCCATAGATCATCCAGAAGCCATTGATAAAGCGAGACCATACTCCGAGAGGTCATTCGACCAGCACAGACAGTGTCTTCAACAGTCATAAATCAATCCAGAGAGTAACGACAGATATAGTCTTCATTAGCCACAAATCAGACAACAACCATTCAGAGAGTAAGAACAAACTCCAAGAGGTCATACCACTAGCATTGTTAGCCATCGCCAGAACATCTTCATCAGCCATAGATCATCTAGCTGCCATTGATAGAGCGAGACCATACTCCGAGAGGTCATACCACCAGCATCATTAGCATTATCAGTTTTGATGATGATTTCAAGCCGAAGCTCCACCAAAAGATCTGACTCAGTGTATAAGTTTTACTTATGCACCAGACACCAGTAGTCACTTGACATGAAGTTACTGAGTTACGCAAGTGTGCTTGTGCATATCTGTCTCAAAGATAGAGCTATGTTGCAGATGTTGTAAGGATGTAACAGACAAAGCTTGCATGCCTATGCCTCTGTGTGGTGATTTGTTTTTACTTCAGCAATATCTTGGCGACGCCGTGAATTTTTTTCTTGACGCAATACCTCAACAGAAAATCAAATTTCTCTTTCAGTAGCACCTCGGCGGCAAGCAAATTTTTTTGTTCGACGATGAGTCAAAATTTTGTTGCAGCAACACTTTGGCGATGACCTGGATTCTTCAGTGATGCATTGGCGGCAAGTTAATTTTATTTTTTTCTTCCAGCCATACCTTGATAACGAAATTTTTTCCTTCAACGATAGTTCAACGAAAATCTTTTCTAGCAATACTTCGGCGGCGAGCAGAATTTTTCTTGGCACCTATAGTCTGGCGACGAACCAATTTATTTCTTCGCAACTACACTTTGCCGGATCAAAATTTCTTTTGTAGCTACAATTATGGCGAGGGACCAAAATTTTCTTTGCAACTACATTTTGGTGGTATGCCAAGTTGACAGGTGCGATGAACACTTTTGATATCATACGATGAGCACACTTTGTCCTTTTTTTTTTAGGTTGACTGAACTTGGAACATACTTCCAAAATGCCTACATACCCTAAACAGGGATCAAGTCATCATGTAGTTCATAATTTTTTTTTTTTTTAGCAGACAGTTTATACTCATGTTAAAGAGTTTTTTTTTTTTCTTTAGGCGGACAATTTATACTCATGCCAAGGGGTGTGTGTTTTTTTTTTTTTTTTTTTTTTTTTTTTTTTTTGTTCCAGGTAAGCAGTTTAAACTCGTATCAAGGAATTCTTGATTTTTTTCAGGTAGACAGTTTAAACTCATGTCAAGGAGTATCAATTTTTTTTTTTTTTTTAGGAGACAGTTTAATCTCGTATCAAGGAGTTCTTGATTCTTTTTTTTTTTTTTTTTTAGGTAGACAGTTTAAACTCGTGTCAAGGAGTGCTTGATTTTTTTTTTTTTTTTTTTTTTTTTTTTTTTTTTTTTCCAGGTAGACAGTTTAAACTCATGTCAATGAGTGTTTTTGACAGTTTAGGCTCGTATCTGGGAGTACTTTAACTTTAATAATTTTTCTTCAACTTTGCAAGAATCAGATGACAATCTAAGCTTATACTGGAGGGCACGAGCTATCTCGTCGTCACTTTAAGGATTTTTTTCTTCGTTTCCTTGACTTAATGCCCCCTGTGATTTTGTACTTTCGGTTGAAGTCATTGTTGTAGCATGGTGTGTTTCTTGATGCAAGTCTTTTGAGATGATCCTTACAATGAAAGATGAAGTTATTTCGTCATCCGAGTTAGGAAGTGTATTGTCTTCTTCTTCAGATTCACTTATCTCATCTTCTTGAAGGTTGTCGGATATATCAGGAACATTTTCCCTAGCACCATGATTTTCCATGCTAAGCTCCATGTCATAGGCTCGAGTAACAAGCTCTTCAAATGTGCAAGGCTTAATCCCTTGTAAGATGTTAAGAAGCTCCCAGCGCATGCTTTGCATACATGCTTCAATTGCAGAAATTGCAGATAAACGATCCTTGCAGTCAAGACTTAGAGCTCGCCAACGATTGATGTAGTTAACTACGGGTTCACTCTTTATTTGTTTTGTATTTGTAAGCTCCAGCATACTAACAGTATGACGAGTGCTGTAGAAACGGTTAAGAAATTCTCGTTCCATCTGCTCCCAATTGTCAATACCTCCAGCTTTGAGGTTTGTATACCATTCAAATGCATTCCCTTTGAGGGAACGAACGAATTGCTTGACAAGGAGATCTCCGTCTGTACCAGCATTGCTGCAAGTCTCAACAAAGTGTGCAACATGTTGCTTGGGATTGCCTTTTCCGTCAAACTGTTGAAGCTTTGGAGGTTGATACCCAACCGGCATTTTTAAAATGTCAATTCTTTTTGTGTAAGGCTTTGAGTACATGCGAGCACTTTGAGGAACGCCATTGTATTGTTCTCTTATGCGATTCACTATAATGTCTTGAAGTTGTTAGACAGAAAGTGAGGTGATGGAGGCAGCTTCAATTGTTGGATTGGCGGACACGTCATTTTGATTATTAATTGGAGTGTTCTCTGGCATAGAATTAGAATGAGGAATTTGGCCTTTGCTTGACTCAGCATTGTCGTCATACAGCGAGGCAATTTTCAGATCTTGCTCCTTGAGAGAGTGTTGCAATCTTTCAATTGCATGAGCCATAGTCGTCAATTGCTCTTCGTACGAGGTAGTACTCATCATCATGACTGGCATAGTGATGGAGTCAGAAAAAATCTTTGGCCTTGGGTGGACCATCCTTGAACTTGACCTTGTGACCGGAGCAACCTTTGAGGTTGTAGGAACCTTCCTTCTTGCCCCCAGCACGGTGGAACTTGAACTTGTGACTGGAGTAACCTTTGAGGTTATAGGAACCTTCCTTCTTGTCCCCAGTGAGGTGAATGTGGTATGAGTTTGAGTTGTTATTTTGATAGATTTGGAAGAATTGACTCTCACCACATCGTGCTGTCTTTTGGTAGGAACGGATGATTTGACCATGCTTCACATCATTGAACTTGCAGAGGTGTTTGTACCACTTGATGAAGTTGCAACCTTCTTGCCACCTTTTGTGATGGTATTGATGTTGTTCGTTATGATCGCGATGTCTTTGGTGGTATTCTTGCTCTTTGTCTGAATCTTATTGGAAGTCATAGAATCTGACGATGAATTTGTTGAGGATTTGATGTAGGAGAAAGAGATGAGAGGCAGAGGATGTCCCACCGGGTGTGCTAGAAATTTGTACAAACAAATTTTGTTCTCTGCAAATAAAGACAAAATATGGGCAAAATAATAATTTATTAAATCAGAAATATTTAGAGTACAATCCTTTGTGATATCTTTTACAAAAAGAATGGTCTTCTTATTCGATCTCTTTTTTGTTGTTGGTTGGATTCAAGGGCTGCACGAGCTTATTCTTGAATCACCGTGGAATTTGATAAAGAATGGCACGTCGTTGGATGTGCTTGTTGTTGATGACCGTGGAATTTGATGAAGACCGGCACGTCGTTGGATTTGCTTGATGTTTTTCGCTTTTGGGTTTGGATTTTGAATTTGTGTCTCTGACTTCTGAGTCTCTAGATTTCTGGATTTCTGGACTTCTGAATTCTGAATTTTTGTCCTTTGTTTCTGAACTTCTGAATTATGAATTT